AAAACATAATAAATATTTCTGGATTTTTCAAAAAAAAAATAATTTACCACTAATTTAAACCAAAATTATAGGTTAGCCATTGAAAGAATAATTGTTATTAAAAAAATAAATTTTTAGAAGTATTGATCATAAGAATTAAATTCTAAATTTGATTTATAAGTTGATATTTACTTACGAGCGAGCTATCATAATATAGTTGGACTAACTATCGATTTTATTGAACCATCATAATCAAATAATATTATAGTTGGACTGTTGGTTTCATTGAACGACCATAGTCAGAATACTATGAGAATTACAGAATCTCGTTAATTTCCCAAAAAGATTCAGTAGCAAATTAATCAAATAATATAATACCCATGCGGGCTGCGCCAATGGAAGTAGAGGAAGTAAAGAGGAAACTGGTGGCTGCGTGATTAAAAACGCTGAGCCTTGAGGTGGAGAGTTAGCTAATCCTTGAGTAGGAAATCGAGTGCAATAAATGGACAGAAACATGTAGCAATGTTGACAATATTGTTATCTGTCACGTTGGATTTATATATAGGTAGGAACCATAGGATTAATGGGCAACAAGAATTGATCTCTATGATGATAAATTTACATCAGCATTAACGATGACAAGGACTTGGGTTCCTAGCTCTACGTAGATGTCACCTACACAAATTTCCAACATAGAGGTCGTGCATAGAAATAACACTCATTTTTTAAAGTAATTTCACTTGATTAAGATAATAATATTAAATTATTATTTGAACTTCATGTTTACGTATCAAGATAGCCTTCTTCTTTGTTTTTAATATTTTTTAAAGAGTTTTTTTTCTTTTTATTATATTATTCTACCAATTCACTTTCTTTTTTTCCTCTCGTGTATACATGAGATTTGAAAAAATAATCACCGTATCAACTGTATAACAATCATTTTTTAAATAATTTTATTATCAGATCAATCCGTCATGAACGACAGACCAAAACCTATTTTTTCTAACAAAAAGTGTATTGAATTAGAATTTACGCTTTTTGGATACTGGTCATGTAAACTTTTAATAACTACATAGTCAGCTTGGCATGACTATTAGTTAAAACTATGTCCACACATCAAGCTGCTGGTCCATAAAAAAGAGAGAGAAAAATCTTCGAAATTTGCGAGAAATGGAACTTAAACTATGATATCATAAATTTTTATCTCATAGTTTAACCAAGGAGCCGCCCTTGTGGGCTCATAGACGTGGATCATGTGTTGCGATATCAATCTTCAATCTTTCGTAAGTCTTCTACCTCCTTCATGAATTGAAGGTTTGAACCAAAATTGTTTTTGTTTAAGTTTGAAGTTGTAAAAGTTATTTTGTATACACTTAATTCTATTCTTACCTATTGGTTTTTGCCGAAAATCTTTTCATTCAGTCAATTAAAAGATTCGGTTTTTGCATCTAATTTCTCATTTTCAATCTTTGACAATTGATACTTAAGTTGAATGATTTGATTTTCGATGTAAAATTATCTCTCTATTTCTCAAATCGACAATAACTCACCTTATTATTATTATTATTGTTTATGAGTTTTTAGGATCATGATAAGAAACTTAGATCCTTTTAATTTGAACTTGAGCTATGTTTTTTCAAAATGGATGAAGTAGAATGGAATGTCGTCGAGAAATAAATAGTAAATGAGCTACCATCTATTTAGTTATTTATTAATTCAATAATTGAGGAGGAGGATAGAAATTTATATTTTTTTCTATGATTCAATAGACTCTAAAAAAAATAAAAATAACAATTACAACTCACTCATGTTTATAAATAAGTAAATAAATTAATGAATAAGTTATTATTTCAAAACCACATTTTAAACACGATATTATCAAGTTAATCATGTTTATTCTTTCATGTTTTTTCATGTCAAATTATATTTTGCTTTGTATATTCCGTAAAAATTAACAAAAATTATATTTAGAATTATGGAAAATATCTATAATATCTTCTAATAAAAAATTTCTTTATGATTACAGGTTAAGGAGCTGAACCAAACTCACAAAAAAAAAAAAAAAAGGTTGTTACAGATGAATTATCAATCATAGAAATAAAATTGGGATAACGTGAAAATACTCATCTCAACAAAAGAATGTAGTCTAATAGTAAGATTATTATTTTTTCTTTAATTAAAATTAATGTTCAATTCTTACTATTCAAGTCTAATTAGCAATAATAATAATTTTTTTTATCAAGATAACTTATGTTCGGTATTTGATATGTCCAGTCAATTTATCATTTCTATTTTTCGAAAAAACTACCATCTAACGAAAAGCAATTTGATACACATGGCTACAATTTTTTTAATTTTCACCTTCAAAGATTCATACAAATCACCTGTCTTGAATGACCACGTGAAATAACATGTCAAAAGAGCCAGTTTTGCAAAAATATAAAAGTACATTATCGATGGGCATGAATTCCATCAATACTGTCACATGAATGCAATAGAGACACGAGTGCACCAAAATTCAAAACTGGTGAGTGGGCCTAAAAAGCAACAAAAAGAAAAGAATAAGGATAAAAGTGTAAAGTAGCGTATTATATGTCCAAATATGACCGCGTCAAAACGAATCAACTCGCAAATGACGACGACACGGCGCAATGTTTGGACACTTTGAATTTAAGTACTTGACACACGCTACTTGAGAGAAGCCCCGTCCGGAGATTGTAAGTAGCATTAAAAATCGATACTAATTCGACAAACCTATGAAGGTAGTATTAATGATACGATACGACGACATAAAGGGCTAAAACTAACTTTACACCTTATAGTTGGACAAATGTTTCGATTTAAATCTTATAATTTAAAAATATCTCATTATCCCTCGATGGTCATTATTACCATTTTAATCCTCCTATTTCTTTTAATAACAAATTTTATGATACTCAACGAATAACTACCAATACTTACTTTATATAAATAAATAAATACAAGGAGATAAAATACATACGAGAGAAAAATTAAAATAATTATCCCACGAGAGAAAAACAGATACAAACAAAAGAGAAATAAAAAAGAAAAAAAATTGAGTATAGATAAAATTATTTTATTACTTTTAGTGAATCGGATGTAATTTTCTGTCTCGTTTTTGTGTTTGGCTTTCTCTTCAAAATAAGTCTATGAAATAAATATTGTATTTGTCAAATATTTTAAAATTTCTTCTTTTGAACCAGTGTCCGAATAATAATTATTTTAAATAAATAATGTTAAAGTTATTAAGAATTTTAGTAATTGACATAACAATTGTGATAGATTAGATTCAATAGAAATAGAAACCATATTAAATAAATATCAAAATTTATATACCAATATATATTTTTTTTAAATGACGGATATCGCTTTAGTCAATAAAAAATACAATAACAATAGAAGATATTACGTTTTACTTTGTACTCAATTTTTTAAATCTATAAGTGAGCATGCTCTTCATATTTTGTTATAGAATTCAAATTCTAAAAAGGTCATAAAAATAATTATATTATTATGAATACATAAGTGGATGTTGATATTTTACCGAAAATACAGTTAGATAAATTTAGCCTCAGCTCATAAAAGTTGAGAAGATGCATTCACCGTTAAGTCTTTCAACAATATATTTAAGTTTGCTTTTTGTTATGTTTGTCGTATTTTTTAAATCTAAATTACTGAATTCACATTAAATAAATATTATTATTATTATTATTATCATGTGCCATTGAACTACAAGTCGGCGGTTATTGAATCATTTTCAAACCATAGGTGTCGAATTGAAACATTAGATTAACAATAAGGGCAAAATAAATACTTCACTCAATACCTATATCTTACGTCACTGCTTTAAGAAATATCCCTTCAAAAAGAAAGAATCAAAAAGAAGAAAAGAAAAGAAGAAATTCGTTTGCTCAAGAAAAAAATATAAATATTCTCAGACAAGGTAGTGAAGCAATGGAGGTCCAAAGCTGACTCTTTATCTTTTCGTTTTCCTCTCCTTTTTTAAGGGGAAAAAAATATATATATATCAAAGCGACCAGCTTTCGTTCACTCTCTGCACCAAAGCGACACCGTTTTCGTCCTTCTTCTCCGCTTTAGCTCCAACTCAATCTGGTACGTTACGATCTTCTCTCTCTCTTCCTCCAAAAAGCGCGCTGTGTTCAACTTCTTTTCAGTACTTGATCACTCCTCGTAGATTAGTCAACCTTTTTGAAAAATTAGGGTTTTTTTTTGTCTTGATTGGGGAATTCGAGTCATTCGTTTGGAAGCGGTAAAATTTGCCTTGTTTTGGAGTAGTTAGCGGTTAATGATGTTAATTAATCTGTTGGTTACTGAGAAGATTGAGTGGATTACATAAAGAAACCGAATTGATGGGAAAATTACTTACTTTACTTTTACTAAATGATTAAATCTAGCTAAAATTTTATTTATTTTTTAATAAAATTAGCTGGATTAGATAAAATTTGTGGTGATTGGGTACTCAATTGGTGACTGAATGTGGGGTTGATGTTTGTTTTGGGTTATTGAACTGATAAGCGATTGAACGTTTTGATCTTTCATTTCTTGGAAGAAGAGGATCAGCATTAGGTTTTTTGGTGGTCTAAAGAACAAGTTTTTGATCTTTCATATTTTGGGTTTGAAGAAAACCCATGAAAATAAAATTTAAAAATGTTGGGTTTTTTGATTTTTCATGATTGAAGTTACTCAGCTGAGCCTAGTGGTTTATTAGGATGTTTGTGTGGTGGCTTGGATTTTCACTGTGTTGAATTAATGAATTATTCAAGCTTCTCTGCGATGAAATACTTGATGCTGATACTGTTGTGTGTTTCTTGTTAAACAGAATTGGGACTGTTAAATCATCCATTGCTTGTGGTGTCTCCTATTATAAAGTTCTGTGGGACATCTTAGTGAAATCTTGGGATGGGAGTCGACATTGAAGCTGTAATTTTGTTCTTATGATTCTATGCTTTCGTCATTTTTAGTTGTGTTGTTGGACTTAGATGGATGTTCCCTCAACGGAACTACATTCTGAAAGTCAGACCGACACTTTTCCGTTATTAATGGAGCGGCCAGAGAATCTTAACAGTAGTGCACATATTATTGACATACCAAGAAGCATCGATGTCTCTGTGTCACCATCTCATGATAGAATTTCGAGTGGTTTGGAAGCATCGTCGCATGAGGATAGATCTTCGAGTAGCGTGAGAGCACCCAGTTCTCAGCCTTCAACATCTTTGTCGAATGGAACAAACTCTCGGAGCTCCTCATTAATAAGGAGAGGGGAAGCTCGTCGACGCAGGAGTCCTTTGAACTCTGGTTTATGGATTTCTGTTGAATTAGTTCTCACCTTGAGCCAGATTGTTGCATCTATTGTCGTTTTGTCTGTGTCAAGACATGAACATCCACATGCACCGTTGTTTGCATGGATTGTTGGTTATGCATCAGGATGTGTTGCAACCCTCCCTCTTCTTTACTGGCGTTATCGTCATCGTAACCAGGCTTTGGAGCAAGACTCAGCTCAAAATCGTCAGGGTTCTGCACATATTAACGTTCCTGCAGGACCCTTTTCTCTTTCAGTCAGTAGGAATTCGGAAGGGGACGATCGCCGATCTGCCACTACCACACCTAGAGGTGGCCAAAATGCTGTACTAAATGCAAGGTACAACTTCTCGTTGTAATTGTTGCTTTGACTTGCTTTGACTTGCTTAGACATCATTGTCAATGCATCCTGTCCAATTGCATGTTACCAAGGTTGCTGTGTCGTCGATTTTGTTTGGTTTTATGCCATTTTCTTTCTACTTCGCTGTTGAAGCTTCATGTAGATCCAGTATATAGCTGCCTTACATGGGTTGGGAGTAGATGCTAGGTTCTTTATTTCTTTGAAGGGGCATGGACATTATTTGTTATCGAAAGCTAACTTAATGTTTGGACATCTATGCAATGCATTGGATATGATGAAGCTGGTTTTGATCTCCCATCCCTACTGGTCCACCCCTAGATAATATTTCTAAGATAATGGGAAGTATCTAGTTATGGTCACGCCAAAGTGGGTCCCGGAAAAGAGAATATTGAGACAGTCTCATCCATTGGCGTTTACCATTATGATGTTTCAAATAGACATGGATACTTGTACATATTTCCCAATTCTTTCCTTGATCTCACTTCTATTTTTTTCCATTTCTTTTTTGATTGATTGCAATTATTCCAACTTTCTATTTTCTGGGGGAATTTGCATTTTGGCCCCTTTCCTGATTATCCAGTATTTATTTGGTGGCGACTATTGTTTCATGCTCAAAATGATTTCCCTTTTTAGGTTGATCTTTTATTTAGCGTCACCAACAATTTGAGTATTAGTTTTTGAATTGGTTGCGTTACTTTATGGCATGATACACGCTTTCCTTTATCTTGGAATTGATTTTATTTTGCTAGCCATTGAAACCTGTGTCAAATAAAAAGTGAATTCTTTAATTTGTTTTGAACATATAAATATCTGGTTCCAAAAATATTGTTTTTGCATGCAGATTCAAGGTTTTGGTGGAATATTTCAAAATGGCTTTGGATTGCTTTTTCGCAGTTTGGTTTGTGGTTGGCAACGTGTGGATATTTGGAGGTCACTCATCTGCTGAGGAGGCTCCAAACTTGTACAGGTAAGTCCTATGTTGCATCCATCACACCGTTCCTTTCTATACCTGCCATCTGAGAGAGCTCGCCCTCATTTTTGCGTCCATTTCCATTGCAGGTTATGTATAGTGTTTCTTACATTTAGCTGTATCGGATACGCGATGCCCTTCATTCTGTGTGCAACAATCTGCTGTTGCTTGCCTTGTATAATTTCTGTTCTTGGATTTAGAGAGGATCTGACACAGACAAGGGGAGCCACACCTGAATCAATTGATGCCTTACCAATATACAAGTTTAAGTTAATTAAAAATAGAAATGGTGAGGATAGCAGCTCAGGTACTGGTGATGGTGGGATTGTGGCAGCAGGAACAGAAAAGGAACGTGTGATCTCAGGAGAAGATGCTGTAAGTGCTTACAGATTCTTAGAGGTTCCTTCTTGTGATCCTCTGAGATCCTTGGTTGTCTTAACAAGGGGCAAGGGGCATTTTTTCAGGATTTGTTTTTGACATTGTTACTGATAATGTAATGTTGTAACTGTGACAGGTTTGCTGCATTTGTTTGGCAAAATATGCAAACAATGATGAGCTGAGGGAGCTGCCATGTTCTCATTTCTTTCATAAGGAGTGCGTAGACAAGTGGCTGAAGATCAATGCATCGTGTCCCCTTTGCAAGAGCGAGGTCGGTGAGAGTATATTAGGTTCACTGTCGGGGTTAAGTTCTAGCCAGAGACGGGTTGAAAATGGGGCCGGCAATGGTGTGGCCGGCACCATGTTTTGATCTGCTATATACTACGAAATAGTAATATAATACATAAATAATTACGATTTTGACTGTGCTGTATAAAGTATTTTCATTCTCCTCTTTTTATGAATCTCATGGATCAAAACATTTCTTTAAGAATTGGTGTGGCACGCTCGTTACAATTTGCCCTTTTGCTCACCAAAAGAGTTGAAACAATTGCTATTTGGCATGGTTCTGCTGATGCTTTTCCTTCTCCTTTTCTCATCCCCCTTTAATTTCTTCGATCAGACAATCTCTTTAATGGTTTATGAAACAGCTAATCCAAGGAATGGCACTATTTTATCTTTGCAACAAATATTCGAAGAACCTTCCATTTAAAATTTCTGAAAGTGGGGTTAACTGTGAACTGGTAGAGACAACCCTCGTTTGATCTGTTCGTTTGAGATCCGTTTGTTTATTATTGTGGATGGAAAATTTTCAAGCCATTTGATAAAGCGTTTGGATTCCCTTTGAAAGTGATGGTTAAAAAAGCATTAGATATAGTGGTTTTTCAATCTAAAGACACCAAATGCAATCAATTTATCAGTGCATGGATTTGGTAATGCAATCACTCCCTTTTTTGTGAGCACAATAAAGCTAAAAAAGTTATCCAAGAGAGAGTCACAACTCAAAAAAAGCGTTTGCTGCCATCGATTTATCATGCATTTAGCATTTTTTTTTTTGGAGAATTGTCATAGTAAAAGATTTATTACTAATTAAATGATTTATTTCGTTCTTTCTCTAAAAAGACAACAGCGAGTAATAAGTAGTTGGAACTACTCCATTATTTTACTTAAATCCATAAAATATTTATAAATTTAGATTAAAATTTGACTAAAATCATAAAGCGTGAGGTGATTTCAATTTTAATTCTATTTAAGCACGCAACTGGAGTGGGATTGGTTCTTGCGGTTTGAACAGAAAACAAGTACAGCAATTAAAATCACCTAGTTCTAAAAAAAAAAATTAAAATTAAAATTTCGTCGGTTTCATTACGAATATATTTAATTTTCTTCTGTAAAACACGTGATTCAATTTTAGTATTAAAAAGGCACTTTATAATAAGAATATTGTTAAACCAAAAAAATATACTAAAATGTTGCATGTCTTGTAGGCGAGTTTAATTGGCAATAAGAGACTAGCTTCGCTAGCTTGGACCGATTTTTGGATCCACGGTAGTCAATTGGTTTTTTTTTTAAAAAAAGAATTTTGTTGAAAAAAATTAAAAAAAAATTATTGGTTCATTGATAATGACCTCGTTTATGAAAAATTAATATTGTTGTTAAAAAATAATATAAAATTATTTATAAAACATTACTCAATAATTTAAATTTTTGAATTAAGATGACTTCTTCAAAAGATTTTTTTTTAATTAATCAATTGTTATTCATAGCTTGTTTGTAAAAATAAAAAAAATAGATGGGTGTGTATTATATATATAGTTTGATATTTATATATGGCAGGGTATTTTTGAATAAATTTTTGTATTAATTGAGATTAAATTTGATATCTTTTATCTTCTTAATTAAGTTAGTATCAAAACATGTTTAGCTTTTAATCAATTACTAGACTCGTTCTTAAATCAAATCAACTTAAATTTATTATCATTAAAAAATAATTATGATTAATTATTTATAAATAATAAAAATTAAAATTTAATTTTAATTAAATTAAGATAATTTTTTTCCGCCATGCCACATCTTTTGGTGAGTCTATATGAGATGGTATATTGTCACTTTTTAAATAAGGGCTAGCCTGCACAATTAAAAGAAAAAACAGTGATCAGTATAATTACGATAAAAAATAAATCAGTTAGCATAATTTAAAACGAACGTGGGTCCTCATCACGAGAAAAAAATCATCCACGTGTTACCCTAAGCTCTTTCTAGAAAAATGGAAAAAGTCACTCAAAAACTCACGCCTTCCGTATTTATCCTCTTCAGATTAGCCTCCTAGGGTTTCTATTCATCTCTCTCTCTCTAGCGTTAAAACTTAAAAGCCGAACCTTTCTCTCTCTATTATCGTCTCTTTCTGACACGCTGAGTTCGCGCGGTTCTCTAATCAGGTAGGACTCGTCACCAGTACATCACTATTAGCGAAAATCGATAGCCTGTTTGCTTACGTTTTGTGTTTCTCGTTTCTCGAGAGACAAATCGGTGCCTTTTGATGTGAAATTAGGGTTTTGTGTTTACAGTAGAAGTGTATTGTTAGCTTGATTTGAGTTTTATTGCATGTTTTGTGGCTGGGTTAATTTCATTAGGGATTACTTATCGAATTTTTTGATTATTACACTTTTTTTTATGTGATTTGAAGCTTCGAGACAGTTAATTGGAATTTTTCTTAGTTCCCTTCGGTTTTCTGAAGCTGACTTTTGCCGTGTGATTGTTCAATTAGAATTGAAAATTGCTGTTTTAGAGGGTATTTTGATATAATTAGGGTTTATTGAACTTTTTTTGTTTCTTTCGTCGATGTGATTTTCTGGTACCAATTCCTTTTCCTTTTTTTTTTTTTAAATGAGATTGATTTTTTTTCATATAGTCTAACCGAAACAAATGTATTGCAAGCGGTCTTGTAACTTGTGGGTGGCATCTCCTTTTATTGAAAAACTAGCACAAACATGCCCATTATTTGTAAAGTTTTTTCTTTTTTGATTTGTGATTTTTTTTTTTTTGGTTTTTATTATGTTTGTATGATATAGGAATCATTGTGCGGTGCAGTGGTAAAAGCAAATGGGATGCCAATTCTAAGTGTGTTGTGCGAGTTCATGGGGGAAGTCTTGAGAGCAGCCACTTCATGCTAAAGTGCTGAAGGTTGAGACTGTATCAAGAACACCCTCTTGGAACCCTGCTTAGATGGGATTTGTACTTGGTGATGGCTGGTCATTTTGTATGCATCCGTCTGTATTTCAAGACACTTCTTAGGGTTTTGCAGTTTTATCTCTCCATATAAATAATTGATGTTTGTAAAAATCTGGTAGTCAATAAATGCGTCTGCGCATGTAGCTAAATATGCTGCCATTGTGTGTCTAATAGGTTTACTTTCGCACTATTTCTTTGATATGGATGAATGAACAAGCTATGCATGGTGAGCAAAAGATGAAATGAATTTTTTCTGTCAGCTTTATCCAAAAAAATATCATATAGCGTAAATTGCACTTCACCATTTGTGGGTAAATTTATCAAATAAATGGAAAAAATGAGGGTTTAAAGCTGAAAAAATTGTGAAGGAAAGCTGCATTTGACTTGAATTTCTGAAGTTCGATTTTTACTAACTAGAGTGGTTCTTTATAATAAGCCTCTTAATGTAGGCTATAGACAGTGAGTTTTGAATTTTGAATTTTACTTCAAACCAGCTCTTGCTCTGTGCCATGGCAATAATATACAGTACAAAAATGTCAGTTGTGTATAAAATTCATTAGTTGTAATTGATTTCCTTCGCCCTTAAAGAAGAATTCCAGTGCAACACTTGTTTCATTTAAGAGTAGTGCTTGCACGAAGGCAAAATAATTTCATCAGCTAAAAAGTTCTATAAACTCAAATTGGTTATGGGAGTTCATTCAGACGTGAAATCTTGGTAAATTATGAAAAATGTGTCGGCACTGACTTTAAAGATTGCAGTGCCTTTGAGATTAAAAGTTGATATTTAAGTGAAAAGGGTTTTTGTGAATCATTTTCAAATTTCTGATCTTTTCAAGAAATAATTTTCGAAGTCCATGTTCTCTTGTGAGAATCTGAAACATTACCCGTTTTCTTTTTAACCGTGGGATTCCAAGTTACATGAGTCTGGTCATATACTCTTCAGTGTAGGCGTAATTATTTGTTAATTGCATTCCACAAACAAGTGATGAAAATACATTTGGATATTCTTTACAGCTCATCTGGTTACCACCCAAAAACAAATCATATAGGCGATTGTCACTCGTGCCTGTTGGAGTGACATTTTATTGTAGTAGCAGATAGAGTTGTAACCATGGTTACATATTGATTTTCTTTTTCTTGGAATGTTGATGTCCCAATCCTGAATGATCTAGATATGTAATCTCGACTTTGTCAGTCTCAAGTTGAAGAACTAATAATGACTTCTTGGTATTGCAGATACTTTTGCATTCCTTATATGTTGATTGCCTAGCATGTCCAACAATCTCGTATCACAGCAGTTATCAGGACAGGGCATCCAAATGGGTCAGCTGGAACATATTTCAAACAAATTGGACTCATCGATGCAAATGGGGTTGATGGAACCCAGAATCCATGATCCTGCACTACAACAGATGTCCATGTCAAACATGCAAATGGGACTGATGGGACCAAGTTCTGATGCTCTATCGCAGCAGATTTCAATATCTAGCAACCAAGTACAGTTGTCAGAACCTATGTCTCATAACCATGTTTTGCAGAATTTCACAGCACCAAATATGCAAACAGGACATATGGAACCACGAGCTTACAACTTGGTTACTGAGAAATTCTTACCAAAGAGGCAACTGGGAGACGTGGAAACCATGTTTCATAATACTGGATCACAGCAGCCATCACCATTGAGCAAGCGTAAGGCCCCAATGGAACCTTCATCTATGTCACAGAAGTTATCAACGCCTCACAAGCGGGTAGCGCAAATGGAACATAGGCCATGGTTGCAGCCAACTCCAGCACCAAATAAACTGCCTGTACAGAATCAGTCTATTTCAAATATCTCTGTGTCAAATCGTCCACAAGCACCATCGAAAAGGTCAACTGGTAAAACTGGATTGCAGCAATCATCAGTTCAGAAAAATCAAACTGGACAGATGCAGCCATTTTTGAAGGCTCGCAATGAGTCCGACTCTGTGAGATCCAAGCTGAGGCAATCACTAGCAGATGCACTGGCTCTGGTTTCTCAACAGCAGGATAAAACTTCAAGTTCTGGAAAGAACTCTGAAGGTGATGCTGCAAGTGTTCAAGCGTGGAAACACGAAGAGACTAAACCTAGTGGACAAACTGCTGGTGCTGCTGATACTGTTGACCATATGTCTGAAGAGCCCAGGGAATCTGGGTCTGCCAAGGATGATTCTATTACCCAAAACCATTCTGATGGCCAAAAGACATCTCAGGAAACTTCCAACACTGATTCAACACAGACCTCAAACCATGATGGGCAGGAATTACAATCCAGTGTTATTTTCCGTGATGAGGATGTTTCATTTAGTGACAGCTTTTTTGTAAAAGATGAATTATTGCAGGGAAATGGGTTGTCCTGGGTATTGGAACCTGATGCAGAGATGGCAGAGAAAAAGGAGTTTGAAACTGCCCAAAAGCAGCAGGGCCAGGAGCATATCAGCAAAGATATTGGAAAACAAGTAGTCCAGGATCCCCAACTTTTGGCATCTGAAATCGAAGCAGAACTCTTCAAATTATTTGGAGGAGTGAACAAGAAGTATAAGGAAAAGGGCAGGTCTCTTTTGTTCAATTTGAAGGATCGTAGTAATCCTGAACTGAGAGAAAAAGTTATGTCAGGAGAGATATCCCCAGGGCGACTGTGCTCTATGACTGCAGAGGAACTTGCATCTAAGGAGCTTTCTGAATGGCGGATGGCAAAAGCGGAGGAGCTTGCTCAAATGGTGGTTTTGCCTGATTCAGATGTTGATATCAGACGTTTGGTGAAGAAAACTCACAAGGGTGAGTTTCGAGTTGAAGTTGAACAAGATAGTGTCACAGAGGAGGTTGCTGTTGGTCCAAGTTCATTCACTCAGACGCGACCAAAATCAGAAGAGAAAGAAGCCTCTCCGCGTTCTAGACCTGATAAAATGAAAGACAAAGTGAATGCTGCTGATGACAAGAGTAACTTAGAAGACAAGGGCGCATCATATACGCTTACAATTCCTTCTAGTGAAGGGAACGATTTGATGCAAGGACTCATGGTGGATGATGAGTTGAAGGATGCAGAATTTCTTCCTCCAATTGTTTCTCTGGATGAATTCATGGAATCCCTTGATTCTGAACCACCATTTGAAATTTTACCAGTGGATGCTGGAAAAGCAACACCCACCTCTGACAACGATGATTCACAGGTTGGGTCAGAATCTAAGTCTCCTGCCATAAATACAAAATATCCAGTTGGTAGTGCTGCAGAAAAATCTAAAAACGTCAAGGTAACTAACACATCATCTGAATCTGATGGGAAATCTGTCAACATTCGTGTAGAATCAGAAACGACACCCTCTGTTGGTGTATCCAAGGGAGAACATGTCTGGGAAGGCTTACTTCAGCTGGGTATCTCCACCACGTCCTCGGTTATTGGCATCTTTAAAAGGTTTGTGTTTTAGTCACCTGGCATTAAAAGAATATATGAAGCTGTCCATGAAACTTTTGCTTGTGATAAAAATATAATATTGGAATCTTCTTTCATCATATTTTATGGGGTCACTACTAACGAAATAAAACCTTTGATTGTCTGCCATCCAGGCATACATTACGTTAGATGAGCAGTGTTCTCCAGTGTTTTTAATGAATTATGTAGTGGTCATTGTGAAGCTTGCTACTTTTTGCTGATCTGTTTTACTTGTTGCAGTGGTGACAAAACATCTGCAAAAGAGTGGTCTGGCTTCATCGAGGTCAAAGGGAGAGTCAGACTTGATGCATTTGAGAAGTTCCTCCAGGAGCTTCCAATGTCCCGAAGTCGTGCTGTTATGGTATCTCAAGTTTCCTTTTGTTGTACTAAATTTCAGTTATTCTACTTTTGTCCAGAAAAGAGGGATAATTTTCTATCCCTGCTTATTAATCCCGCTCTACTGTTGCTGCAGCGTAGGGTCTTTTCATTTCTGGTGAACGACATCTTAATAAGAATTTGTGTGAATGAATGGCTTGATAAAACTTTATATAAAAGGAAAACAAAATTTTGTCTCCGATTTGATTTCTTTTTTTGTTTTTTTGTTTTTTAACTGCTGAGGAGAGTTAATTACTGGGAGAAATAAAATGTGCAAGGAAGTTGCAGAATCTGTGTAACGTCACTTGTTGATGGCTCTCAAGTCTCAAGCAAACAATAATTAGTCTAGCTTTTCTTTCCCTCAAAGATATGCTAAATCAGCCTGGAATATTCATTTAACGGATGGCCTTGTTTGGTTGAGAAATCTTCCCTGAGATCTTCGCAGATCCGTAATTCTTTGTGTACCCAGGATATATTGATGGAACGATAAAATATCTTGAAGTCGTTAACTTCTTAATATGATATAGCCCCAGCATGATTGAATCTTGTCAGCTTCTGGCACCCTTGTTGCCCATGAAATCTGATGTCATAGAGAGGATCTTTACATTTTTTTTTTTTGTTTTCTCTCGGCAGAACTTGAAAACGCCTCGTTTGCATTCCATATTGCTAAAGAAATAGACTTTTGCTTTTGCAGGTTGTACACTTTGTTTACAAGGAGGGGTCCACCGAAAGTGAGAGGGCAAGTCTTGTAGAGGTAAGAAAAGTGAAAAAATTGTGTTGCATTTGATCACTCTTTTTTTTTTTTTTTAGCTTAGCTGGTTTGTCAGTTTTCGTGTAAAGTTGTGACTGAAAATGTCTGCTGCAGGGGGCCGATTCGTATATTTTGGATGAGAGAGTGGGTTTCGCTGAACCTGCTCATGGAGTGGAACTTTATTTATGCCCACCTCATTCAAAGACACGTGAAATGCTCATCAAGGTCCTTCCAAAGGACCAACTTGAGGCCCTTAACGCTATTGATAATGGTCTAATTGGTGTTATTGTATGGAGAAAAGCTCAAATAACGTCAACGATATCACCCACCTCTGCATCACACCATAAACACAACTCAAAAAAGCAACAGCACTTCACCTCTAGGAGACACCAAGAAAAGGACACTAATATGAACGTGAATATTCCATCAAAACATCCCTTGCCACTTCGTAGTGACCCCACACCTGATGAAGACGACGACGACGACGTGCCTCCCGGGTTTGGGCCACCTACTAGCCGGGATGAGGATGATTTACCTGAGTTCAACTTTTCTAGTGGCTCTGTTGCATCAAGGTCACAGTTTTCGAACCAAAATCCCACTAGGGGACAGGGAATGTCCCCTCTCAATGCATATCCCCAAACCCCATCTCGACCTGTAGATTTGAGAGAGCTTGTACACAGATATGGGCAACCTAAAACTAACGTTCCACCAGTGCAGCCATGGAATGATGATGACGACGACGACGATGACATGCCAGAGTGGCACCCAGAAGAAACCCAACATCAGCGTACTCAGTCAACGCATGCGCAAGTTGTACAGCAGCCTATTCTAAGAGCCCACATGGTGCAGCAACCGGTTCATCAGACAATGGCACCATTAGGAACATCTCCAGCCGTGCCTCAAGCGAATATGATACATGGTCAACAAAATGCTGCCCCTCCTTGGCAGCAAGGCACTTGGGTGGCTCCTCAGCCTGGACCTCATGGCCATCCTCCGTATCAATCTAGCGGTGGGCAAGTGTATGGCTCGCCCCGGCAGCAAGGGGTGGCTTGGCGTAGAGATGCCCCTAAAAGTAGAGGCTTTTGATTTCTTGTATTGTAAATGATAGCGTCCTCTCTCGGTTTTCCGTCTTTCTGTAACCATAATTTTCTTTTATTTGTCGTTGTTGTAGTTAGATTTTCTAGAGCAAAATCAGAAAGTTATAATGCTACCCGTGCAAATATTGGCCGTTAATCAAATCAAATGAGGAACAATGCATATAGGGTCGTTATGCACCATCAGAAAATAGTTTTCTTATGTTTGGGGTGAGGCATTTCCGAAGACTAACTTGCTCTAAAAATGGAAAATTTAATAAAGGAACCCTGGTGTTTCATATTGATAATGTTTGATTTCGACAAGGGGCATTCAGATTCCTGTCTTGCTCTCACTGTCCCTCCCTCCCTCCCTCTCTCTCCTCTGATCGAAGGGTTATGTTTTAGTCTTGTTCTGGTCATAAAATATATCTGGACTGCAATTACTGCTAGTACTATCCAGATGAAGTGAACTTTGGAAACAGTACTAGACTATGACAATTTCTGGCTGTTCTCTCCTCTCTCTTTGCCAAGAAGTAAGAATACGCATGATTCTCTCTTCTGTGTGTGGGATAAGGGGCTTCTTTCTGAGTCAGAGGCAAATTGTAATTGAGAAATGGTCGTTTGAAGGCTATTTTCTCTTCTTTTTGACCGATCGATGGGAAGCATGATTTTTGCTTGTCTTCTTGTTTTTTTTTTTTGGTTGTTTCCATCTTGTGCAGAAAGTATTTGTTTGTTACGCAACAATGTAAACCGTGAAAACCCAGCATGAGAAGCTGAGTTAGATCCCTTGTGGATCCCTGGGAAGTGAACTGTTTTGTAAAAGGATTATCAAAGTCCATAATAATTGTCCCTAATCTTTCAGAGCTGAATTTGGTTCATGTTGACCCAAGATTATCAGTGCACATGAAGGAATATTCGGGATGCACGATGCTTGCAGTAGGAGATGGCGATGCAGATGCACAAACTTTCTCTTGAAAGATTTCATTGAAACTGTTTGTGGAAATAAAACATGCACAGGAACAACAATGAAACTGCTAGTCTGCTAGAAAGTTTAGGAAGATAATAAGAATTTTCCAACCTTAAAAAGATTAAATCACAAATATCAACATAATGTAGGGACCACTTCGTCATTCTCCTTGTTGGATGAGAACACAAAATTACAAATACAAGACACAAGGGGATCAATCATCCAGGCAAAACTGCAAAAGGAAAATACATAATGGGTTCTTCTAGAAAAGGAAGATAAGGAGAAACAATATGATACATGCCACCACTATCCTAAATAAATAAATAAATTATAAAAAAAATGAAAATCAGTTACATGAACCAGCCAGTAATGACTGAAAAAGACCATAATAGTTACAGTACTTTTACTGGGTTCCTAGAGGTGTTGGTCTATAAAAATAAGGACAGCAAAAGACAACCTGTGCAAATGGAAAGAATGGAAAACAACATTGGCTTCAGCATTTAGCTCAAACTAATGGCTACTAGATATATAAAAATTTGATCAATCTTTAACCCCCTAATGCGCGCTTGAGTCCTGCTCGTTGCTCTTGTGTCAATCTTGTTGGGAACTTCACTTCAAATTTGATCCTCATATCGCCCCTATTACCTGGCTCCTTTGCTATTGGCATACCCTCCATGGCCACAACAAGCTCGTAACCAGGGCTTACTATATCATGTACAGGAATTGATAGACTACGGCCGTCAAGCGTGGTGAGATTTACTGTTGTCCCTCCTAGTGCTTCGGCTAGTGTCACCTTATGGTTGATGATAAGGTCATTGCCATCTCTCTTGTATGTGCTATGGGGCTTCTCATCAATAATAAACACAAGGTCTGCTGGAAGTTGATTCTGCTGCTCATTTCCTTTATCAGGGAATGTAATCTTTGTTCCCTTCTTCCACCCCGGCTTCACATCAATGGTTAATATCTCCGTCTCTTGCACTTGTCGCCTGTGGAGTTACAATCAGAAAAAAAAAAAGGATTCTATAATGGGGATTCATGTGTGAAAAGCTCCTAACCCCTATAATTTAGACATCAGCAGCACATGCGAATACAAGATTGTATGAATATAAAGCAAGCTTGAGTAATCAAGAAGTAAAATATCTACGGAGACATTTAGAAGAATCTGATCAAGCATTGTTCCCATGTATACAAGGCAAACCATGACAATATTTTTCACTGCAAGAGACTTTACAGAGATAATTGGATGCAAAGAATGATTAAAGGTTTTGGCAAGGATCCTACCCAAGTAATTAAGATCGGTCAAAAGACTCTTATCTACCACCATTTAGCACACAAAGAAAATGATCTACTGGGTCCAAGAAATGGTGTTTTTTATTGCAACATCGATGGGTGAAAAAATGAATATGATTAGATAGAGAAATAAATAAACATACCCATGAGCATCAACCACTGTTCTAGATATCTTCATTTTCCTAGTTGATCCAGAGTACAGTTCCTCGAGGCTGCAAGGCAATTTGCTTTCTACTGCTGGTGGTTTCCTTGGTGTAGTCCCCTCACTATAAGTTCGAAAAAGGTTATCACCACTGCCAAATCCACCAAACATCCCTCCGTCCGACTGGTACCTCATGGATCTACCAGGTCCTGTTGATCCAAATCCAAAAGGACTGCTGCCAAAGAATTCTGCAAAGATATCCTCTGCATTCCTAGGATTGAAACCATTTGATCCACTACCGCTACCATTTCCAGAAGGAAAGCAGCCATTGCCGGACGGTGGTGCATCTTTTAATCCTTCTTCACCATACTGGTCATAAATTGCTCTTTTTTGTGGGTCACTCAAGACCTGGATTCACAAGATATATCAAATTCCCAGGCAATGTAACCACAAACAATAATTCACTGTCCTTGACATCTTATTATCAGTTGAAAAGAAGTTCACTGTGATAAACAAATGCCAACGTTTGAGCTCCATCAGCTTCATAGAAGAGATACTTCTGATTTTTCAATGCTATAATTTTTCAGAGCCTAATTTCTTCGCGAAAAATTGTATAACAAACAAATGCATATTATACAATGACCAAAATCAACTCTCCTCCATTTAGCAAATTTCGTGAATCTAATTTCTGAGAAATATCGTAAAGAGTAACAAGAAAATGCAAAATGTGTAAATATCAAAAGGTTTAGTTTTTGAATATATTCGATTCTTCTATCCTCCATTTCAGAACAGTAACCACGAATCCAACATTTCACATTATATATTATTCCAGATTTTCCTTGGGGGTATAATTATATATTCCAGATAAACAAAAAGTAAAAGATCCCTTAAATTAAACAAAAAAAAAAAAAAACAGCACAATGAATAGAACAAAATACAATTTTAAGGGAAAGAAAAATCAAACATGCCTCATAAGCTTCAGAGATCTGCTTGAATGTAGCTTCAGCTTCTTTCTTGTTCGTGGGGTTCTTATCTGGATGCCATTTCATTGCCAATTTTCTATATGCCTTCTTTAGATCATCATCTGTTGCATTCCTGCTCACCTTCAATATGTTATAGTAATCCACCCCCATCTTCTTATTTCAATAACCCAACAATCTTTTCTCAAATACAATCCAAGAATCTACCTATATCCCCTAATAGATCTAATTACCAATCGTTTTAGCCCAAGCCCAGATCATCAAAATCATTAATTCCTTTAATCAAACTGTATATCCATTCTAAACTTCATGATAAAAAAGATGAGAAATGTTTGTCATTGAACTATGTAAACAACAACATTGCCAAAAGAGTCCTGAAATTATTTGCTAGTAAGCAAAATTTTAGATTTGTGCCTTCGTGGATACAAAGAAGAAGAAGAAGAAGCTGAATCTGTTGAAGAAAGGTCTTTAGACCATGTCCTGTGTCTGATGGTTATCGAGGATTTTAATAACCGAAGGTAACGGAATATATGTAATAAAAGACGGTTGTGTTTGCTTTGGTGTTTGGCCTTAAAATTTTCTCCTTACCTTCTTTAGATAATTTAATATTCCCATCCTCGTAGATTCCATAATATCCCACTTCAGTTCTCATTGTTCAAATTTTCTAGTATCAATCTTAAGAGTTTTCAGAAAAATTTCAATGTGTTCCTTTTTCATTAAATATCCCAAAGGAACAAATTACGGGATCACTTTTTGAATTGTTAATTTTAAAAATCTTTTGTGATATTATCATATATTTATCTTATATGAGTTCGACTTCTGCCAACGTGAAAATTAAAATTTCTTAATAATAAGCTTATTATAAAAACTTATAATGTATAGTAATATATACAAATTATGTATTGCATTTATTATCTTCAGATAATCACCAAATGTATTCATGTAGATTGAAATCCGAACTATCTAAATTCTATAAACAGACTCAAATGTCGATTAAAGGATTTATACAACTTATCTTAGCCAATTAATTATGATATTCCAAGTAAAAGATAAGTAATAAAAAAAGAGAACTTCCATTGATATTTACGATAAAGGGTCACATTGATGATATTTTTACAATTTATAGAGTAAATATTAAAAAAATTAATTTATAGGAACTGAAATTGAACATCGTTAATTAAATTTACGTGAAGTAAAATATAGTTTATGTATTTTCTTTTCTCCCTTTTTTTCAGGCCAATGGCACACGTTACTCGTTAGCCATTGAATGCAATAATTTTATGGTTGATTGAGAGCACCTTCCACCTCTTTTCTTCTAAACCCTTCTTGTTTCCTTCGTCGTCTTCGACGGTACTTAATTTTAGATTGCCTGATGTGATATTAAATAGTTTTATTGTTAAAACATTATACCTTATAACGTTTTTCTTTTATTTAACCATAGTTATATTTTTTTAATAAAGTTTTGTGTATAAAGATTACATCATTTTTTAATACACACAACGATATTAGGACATAAATTATCATTAGGGTTTTTGTCCCGCAATTTATGCCCTAATAACATGCTTGTTGAAATTAATGGATGCCAACTCCAGTCCTAAACAAGTTCAAACGATGGCTACAAGAAAAACAAACAAAAGGAACAATTAAATACGTCCATAAAAAAAGGAATTAAAAATACAATAAAAACGTCTTATCCGATTGAACAACTTATATTGGCAATCTAAAATGATGATCTTCATTATCCTTGAATTTCAACAGATTAATAAAGAAAAATGAATCTTTGATGTAAGAAGTTTTTTCGCAACAATATGATATTGATGTACCAGGATCAGGATCAGGCCACTATTGAATTGATTTATCATTTAATCCTTCAGACAGTCGTTCAAAGTTGAATTTTCTTTCTTTCATGCCCTGTGATATCTTTATGATTCAAATTTAATAGCTATTGTTGAAATGAACATCAATCGTTGTAAATGAGGAAATAGAGCTGAAATCTCCTTGAATTGAATAAGCAAATCCCAAGACGCATCAAACATCTCCTTCCCCTTAATTGCTTGTGTAAACCGGACAAGAATTTTCACTTTAACATTTCTTGCGAGGATTAATCATATATTTAGTTGGCATTTTTTTAAGGATTAAAGGTTCATAATATCTCTCTATCTGTTTCAAATATCTTAATCATGTCCCTTTATAAAAATTTTCAACTATCATGTCTTTTTATTTTTAATTGCGTTTGTATTTGATCCATCCGATCACTTTTTCAAGCAACGGAGATAAAAAGAATAAGAAAATATCGAAAATTGCCTTTGTTGCTTGAAAAAGTGATCGAAGGATTAAATGCGGACGCAATTAAGAATAGAAGGACATGATAGTTAAAAAATATAATATGGAGACACGATTAGAATATTTGAAATAGTAGAATGACATACTTGGACCTTTAACCCTTTTTTTAATATTCAATTTATTATTAATTATTAACCTATAGCCTCCTAACATGTGTTACGTTCATGTTGTCCAGAGTTAATGATAAGAGAATAAACATCATTTTCTATTTTTTTCTTAATTTTTTTTCAACAATTAATTATTTTAACAAGTATTTAATGATTATGAACATGTACAAAAAAAACTATCCATATGTACTTAGAAATCTACTAGATTAGTACTCACATTTTGTTGTGAGATAGGTATAATTATATGTATGAAGGAATGTGGCATTTATGTGTAAAGTTGCAAGCAATAAACTATTTTATCACTAAATGTAATAATATTGATTAGATTAGTGACAATTCACCTTATTATTGAGTCTGTAGGTGGTGCATAGTTGCATAATAATTGAAAAAAAAAGAATTAGTATTTAAAAATATTTTTCATTAGGCTTATTAGGACATATAAAGAAGCATAAAACATTAATTATCTTGAAAATTGGGTTTGATCGGAGAATAGATCAATTGATTTATCGATGGTTTGTTATACCATTAATATCGTTCTTGAGGCATGGGGGTTCATGTGTGGTTGATATATATAGCTAATCAATTCTCTACGGGAAGTTGGCCGGCTTGGTTCGGTTCTTTTTTATCGACGTTGAAGGCATGATAAGGATAGAAGCGATGCTCTGCTATCGAATTGTAAAATAGGTTGTGCGGGAACAAAAAAATCTAAAGATGGTTAAGAAAATGAAGCAAAAGTTGAGGGACCAAATATATGTTAGTGTAGCAAAAGTTCTAAACTAGATGTTGGTATGGGTAGCCAAAGTAAGCTTCAGCTATATCCCTTGTGATAACATAATGATTTCAGCGAGTGTCATTTTAGACGGTGCAAGTGATATAAAACCTTGTGGTTAACATTTTTTTAAAAATGTATTAAAAAAAAAATTCAAAACATTGATATTCGATGGATGAGGTGTAGCATTTTTAAAAAAGGAACATAGTTGTATATAGACATGCCAAAACCGTACAAAACACTAATGTAGAGTCAATTATTGTTTTGACATAAACTAATAAACATGTTGTACAATAGTTTTAACGGTTCTAAAAGCACCATTTTTTATTTTCGGTGGACACTAATTTTAAAATTTAGAAAACCAAACTAAGACCAAAAACCGTTATAAATTCAGTTTTTTTTTTTTAATAATTTTGAATAAAAATCAAACCGAAATGGTTATTTTGATTGGTTTGGTTCTTCGATTTAAAATGAAAAATGCTCACCCCTAATTGCAAGAATGCATAAAAAAAAATGTGTATATGAAAAAGGAGAATGCATGAAAATCATTATACAATAAATTATAAATAGCAATTGCCAAAAAATAAATAAAAGAGGCTAAAAAATTTTAGAATAAGAACCATGATAGCAAAGCAAAATAAAGAATGATAAAGGCACAAACAAATAATGATTGAAGGTAATAAAGAACGAAATCTCCATCACAATCAAACTTAACCATAAAAATGAAAAAGAAGATGACTTATAAAACGAAGGATCGAACAAGAAAGGAGAAATAAAAACTAGAAAAACAAAGAAATAAGCATTGAAGATCCAAAACTAAGGGAATTTTTTTTTTTGTTCAAATCAAATCAAATGTAAAAAAAAAAGTAGCAATACCATTTGGATGGAAACATAAAAAAAAAAAAAAGCACATCAATTGATAGAACAAAAAACTATCCGATCGATCCACTATAAAGCAATGTAAATTCTAATTTCAAACATCACAAATAGACGAAATAAGATGAAACAACATTGTACATTAACTTTTTATCTCTCATAAGGATCGACTACATGTACATATTAGGCTTATAAATTTAAAATTCATCCTTAAATTCTGTTTTAACCTTTTATTTTTATTATTCATCCTTAAATTCTGTTTTAACAATAAGCATATAGAAAATAAAACAAAAAAGAAATATGAGATGAAATAAAGCTAGAAAGAAAAACAAATCAAAATAAATTTGCAAAAAACAACACCAATTAAAAGTAGGAAATAATTTTTTAAAAAAACTATAAATATAAAAAGCAATCTCTAAAGTGTGATATTAATCTTTCAATACAAAGATAACAAACAATAAACAATAAAAACAATCACTAACAACAAATATCAATTGCAAAATAAAGCGAGATAAACAATAATAGAAAATCGAATAGCAATGCACAACAAATGAATGAAAAGTACCATGTGAAAAATAGAGTTGACAAAACAAACAAAATGACAACAAACATCTTATAAAAATTAATGACTATATCATACCTATGAAACTTGAAATAAGAAGTAAAAACATCAATGCAAACGATGAACCGAGTTACATGTATGAAAAAACAAAAGATAAAAAACTCAACGAAGCAACACATAAGCAAAACTTGTTAAAAACTAAGAAATTAGGAAAGATAATTCTAAAATAAGCACAAAGATAACAAGATTGAGGAAAAAACACAACAACATGAATAAACTATACTCAAATCAACAAGAGAGAGAATTTGATAATAGAATGAGTTTTCACAATGCAAAGAAAAAAATATGAATCCATAAACGTAAAAAAAAAATGAAGACTCAACACAACAATACACCAAAAAAACACTTTTTAAAAGAGAGAAAAAAATCAATAAGAATACTTTAGCAACGCCTAACTCATATATAAAATAAAGGGTGCCACTTAAACCTAATTCTTGTAGAAAAGGAAAACATATTGACATATAAAACTAAAAAACAACAACTTATCGAACTACGTATGAACAATAATGGTACTTTGAAAAGCACAAACAATCAAAAGATAAAATGCAAGGTTGCTTGCGATCGGCACTTGTTGTCACTTGTAATAAATTGCTAACCAATATAAAAGCAATACACTTCATGTATATGCCAAATTAAAGCGAATTAAAATTTGTTCTCAATACCAAATCTAATGAATAATTCAACATTGGCTAATTAGAGACAATATGTGATAATTTTTTTATATATTTCAAGCTTAAAACATCAAAACGAGAAACCAAAAAAATATATATATACATAATGGGAAAGAATTGCGAACAAAAATGAAACAAAAGACTTGCATAAATAAAACAATCCACCAACCAACCCTTCAAATAAATTAACTAATAATGTTAAAAAAAAACTAGATAAAAAAAAATCACACACATATCACATGAGAGGTAGTCCAAGTATATATATATAACAAACCTCGAAATTGAATGAAAGGACAACAATAAAAAGACAACAACCATAACAAAGAAGCTATGACAAGGTAACACCACAAACAAAACATCCAAAACTTAAAATAATAATAATAATAATAACACACGCAACCAAGATACAAAAACAATAGAAAAAAATATATAAGGCAAAAAGAAAAGACAAAAAAAAGAGAAAAATTTAAAACCAAAAGGCCAATAATAAACAACAACAAAGCTCAAAAGAAAAAAAAAGCATAAAAAAATGCAATAACAACCAATAAAAATCATATATATAGATATCCAAAACAAATTAAGTGGCAAGACAAAAGCGTAAAAAATAAGATAGCTCCAAAGAGAGAAAAAAAAAAAGAAATGAAATCACAAAACACATCAAATAAAGTATAGATGGTAAAGAAAAAAATAAATCATAAAAAAACCCTAAGATATAACCAAGCAATATAGACAAAGAAGACACTAAAAAAAGAAAGAGTTGGACTTAAAAAGCAAAGGAAGACAAAATACAAAAATAATAGAGATAGGCAAGAAAGATAAAGATGAAAAAAAAATTTACTAGAAAGAGAAAAACAACACAAAGACACCAAAAAAACATGATACAAAAAAAAATCTTTCAACTAAAATCTATCATGCATCATCTATTTGAATGGATAAATTTTAAACATGCACCAAAGTAAAGGACAAATGAGTTCTAAAAGTATATAAAAGAGCTCAAAATAAAGGCAATCCTCCCGGGAAAGTGGCTGAAAGGAAAAACAAGATGGGCCACTCTCCAACAAAAAGGTCATTACTTTTAATAGACCGTAAAGAAAAAAAAAACAATAGCCATTAGCAAAATGACACAAAAAAATCTCTCATTGGTTCGAATCCAACAAAGTGAAGGAGAAAACAACAAACATAGGATTAGAGAAGAACAAATAAAGACGATCTCATTTAAGGTAGCTAATGGAGTTTGAATTTTATAGTAAATAATCATTTTGATGGTTTACAACAATTATCGTCGGGGTTTGAGGTTAGGTGGAGTCGCCACTTAGCAATTAGGGGAACTAGAAAACCACTAGAATAAGCTAGTCCGCATAAATATTTGGATAAGAGGTTGGTTTATGTGTGGGAAAGATTAACATCACCACCATCCCATCCTACCCGAGGCAAGTTGTATTGCATGTATATGAGAACTAAGGCCTGGTCTTGTTATGTTATGATTTTATGTCTACTTGAGTGAATTTATCATAACAGAATAAATTGATTGAGTAATTTAAGATTTAGGTTGATCGAAGGCCTATACTTGTACTCTAAAAGAGAATCCAAACCTATATCAATAAATAGGCAAGTCTTTAGGGACTATGAACACATACCGACAAGAACAAAAAATCATCGAAAACTTTATCCATACAATTAGGATGTGGTCGACAACTTTAATTTATAAATTTAGAAAGCCATAGATGATTTCATCCATATAAATAGAAAGCCAACAACTCGGTTTCATAAAAGTGAAGAGTTATTATTGACTTTAAATATTTGGAAGTCATCAACTCGCTTTAGTTCACACAAATAGAAAGTTTTTCAAATACTTAGAATCCACCAATAATTTCATCCACACAAGTGGGACACCGATAGCTTCGGTTCACACGGACAATAAGTCATTCAAATATCTAAAAGCCATCGATGACTTCATTCATATAAATAGAAAGCCACGAACTGACTTCAATTTATATGGATAGCAAGTCATTTCAATTATTTGAAAGCCATCGGTAGCTTCATCCACACAAGTGGGAAGCCAATGACGACTTCAATTCACATAAGCAATAAGTCATTTTAAATATTTGAAAGCTATCGAAAACTTTATCTATACGAGTAGGAAGCCATCAATAACTTTATTTTATATAGAAAATTAGTCATTCATATATTTGAAAGCCATTAGCAGCTTCATCCACAGGAGTGGAAATCCACCGATAGCTTTGGTTCGTATAGATAATAAGTCATTTCAAATATTTGAAAGCTGCTACAGACATCTTTATCCTTACAAGTGGGAAGCCACCAATAGCTTTGGTTTATGTGGATAATAATTTATTCAAATATCTAGAAGCCATCGACAACATTGTCCATATGAGCGAAGCAAATGACGAGTTTCAATTTAGCTTCGATTCACACAAATAGCAAGTCATTTCAAATATTTTGAGGCCAATGATAACTTCGTCCATACAAGTAGAAAGCTATTAAAAGCTTCGAGTTCATATTAACAATAAGTCATTTTAAATATTTAGAAGCCATCGACGGGTTTGCCCACACAAGTGGAAAGCCATCAATAGCTTTATTTCACATAGATTGTAAGTCATTCAAATATCCGAAAGCCACCAATAGATTCATACGAGTGAGAAGCCATTGATAGTTTTGGTTCACATAGATAGTAAGTCATTCAAATATTTGAAAGCCACCAGCAGACTTCGTCCACATAAGAGGGAAGCCATTGACAACTTCGGTTTACACAAGCGACAAGTCATTCAAATATCTATAAGCCACTAGTAGTTTCAATCATATAAGCAGGAAGCCACCGATAACCTTGGCTTATACGGACGAGAAGTCATTGTAAATATTTGGAAGCCACCAACAACTTCATCCACACAAGTGGAAAGCCACCGACAATTTCGTTTCACATAGACATCAAGTCATACAAATATCAAGAAGCCATCGATAACTTCATCCACATGAGTAGGAAGTTGTCAATAGCTTCGGTTCACATAAATAGAAAGTCATTCAAATATTTGGTAACCACTCGACACTATTATTGGAAAATGGCAACAATAATGGTAGATTTTAGGAAAAGAAATCTAACTATTTCTCTTGCCTTTCTTCTTTATTTTTGGCCATATTTGGGGTTCTTTTGGAGGAGATGGTCGAGACAAGGAGGATGAGGGTTTTGAGGATTTTGGCTATGAAGTTTTAGGTCTTTGATGGTGGTGGGTTTTGAGAGACTTTGGAGAGAGTTTCCTTCTTCCTCTCTAAAATTCTTTTTGGTTAAGTTTAGATGAATGAAATGACTACCCCTCTATTGAGAGATGAAGAGAGAGGTTTATGTAGCAGAGTTAATTAGGATTTTGTGTATTTCTATATTAGCCTTAACTTTTTCTTCTTTTCCTACATTCGAACCTAATCTCTTCTCTATTTCTTTCTTTGTATTTTCAATTAGCAATTTTTTTTATTGAACCCCCAATTTAATTTTTTTAATTCCAATTTCTCATGTATTTTTAATTAGACTCCCAAAACTCTCAATTTCTAACTTATTTTCTATCTTTTCATTTTCTTTTTCTTTTTTTAATTTTTCTAAACTCCCAAAAATTATGGGATTCTTAAAAATTCCTAACCCTAGGATAAAAATTACACAACAAAAAAATTAATCAATTTTTTTTTTTTTGGGAAAATATGTAAAACAAAGAGAATGGCAAGAGGGAGCCCAAAAGAGAGAGAAAAGAACAAAACTAATTAAGGGCAAACAAATAAAACAACAAAAAAGAGGGCCGGAGGAACGAAAAAAGCAAGAAGAATCAAATGGTGGAGAAGAAGAGTAAAGAATATGAGGAAAAACAAAATGCAAGGAGGCAACAATCCAGCGTAAACAATTAAAGGAACAACCATTTTGAGTTTGTGTCTACAGTTTTTTCAATCACAAAGAACAGTGTTTCAAATAATAAATTATCTATTTAGTTTTTCTTTTTTTATATATATATATAAATAATACCCGGCTCAACACCCATCGAGTATGCTTAAAGGCTATTTATTGGGCCCTTTATCACCTCTAATCCTAACGAACTTAACCTAGAAGTTTTATTCCTGAAGCAATATTGCAAAGGAGTAATGGTTCGTCGTTTTGAAGTTTATTTGTTGGATATTCAGGGCTTCTACATGATCCACCAAACCAAGCCCATGTCAACTCCCTAGTCAGCCACAGATAATTAAAAAAAGGGAAGAAAAAAAAAGGTCAGAAACAAGTTTAACATCTCATAAGATGATGGGTTTTTTTTTTTTTAACTTACTAATTCCATTATCCTGCCAATTTAGCAGATCAATAAAGTAAAAACATAAAATAAAAAAATAGTCTTAAAATTCATTTCCATCTTGCAAATTGTTCATACCAAGATTTAACAAAAAAAAAAAAATTAAGGTGTGGCATATCTCTAGCAAAGTAATGGGAAGCATCAAATCATATTAATTTTTACCTAACTTATAGTAAAATAGTTGGTTAATGGTTGCATAAGTTACTTTACTTTCTTTTTTGTTTTTGGTCTTTATCGTGTCTATTTGCTATTTTTTGTTTTATCTTTATATAAATTTTTGTTAGTGTTTTTAAGATGCTTCCTAATTTGTTTGTTGAAAATAGATAATATATACCTAGTCCACTAAAACAGGCCCAAGCTCACTCGTAACTACACAAGGGACAGAAACCGAAACAGATACATACCCGCGTACCCTCATTCTTGGGAAACTAGTTAACTTCCCTTGTGAGATATTGATCAAGGAAATGGACGCCTTCACATGAGTAGTTTACTGCAATTCTGCGTTTAGCATCAGTAATACGCTTTCCATTAATTGGAAACCTTGCATAGTCGATCTTCCATTCCATGACTAGGCGCCCTGCCCTAACAAGTAACAACCCCATCATTCAATATGCAAGTTCACTGGATAAACTTTCAATGGCCACACTTTCAAATAAACATCTCCTTTGCCTTAATTGCTAGTGAAATTCGTGAAAATTTTCACTTGTCATTTTTTGCAACCAAAGGTTATTAATACCTCTCCTAAAGTATTCTAATCTCATCAATGCAATTGGAGAAGAGAGAGAAAGAGAGAGATATCATACGTGAACAGTACCAAAAGCGGCCACTGATCATACATATTCAAGCTTTACATGAAACCCCAAACCCATTTCTACATCAAGATGATCTTTACACCATAGCATACTAATTCAAAATAAAAGATATTGTCAAGAAGCAAATTATCACTTCCATCTCAAAAGAAACCTGCAATTTGTGAAACTGCTCAAAGCACTATCAATTGATTGCAGAACCCAGAAAAAAAAGGGGGGTAATTTGGAAGAAGCACCTACCTGAGGACTATACACCCACAACCAAGCCACTTATGTTATATGCATGTCTCCCACCTCAAAAGAAAGATACTCTAATCATACATTTTATCTTTCAGAAAACCCAAAAAAGGCCAAGGAAAAACAACTGAACAGATCACAAGTCAATCAGGTAACAACTACTGTGTCCACGGCTGAGGAGCCAGATGAGGCACTGGCTTCACCCACGACAGTCTTCAGTTTCACAGATGACGACTCAGCTGAAGGCCCGGATTCATAAACATCCCCAATGTCCAAGGTGTCAGGAAGATTTCCAGAAGACTCAAGAATGTCAAACTGCATAATGTAACCATCATATTAGGATGACACAAAATGTGGAGGATGAAATGCAGTCAAGATCAAATTTAGAAAACGAAAATATCGAGCCAAAATGCAAATTTCTACAGTGTTCTTTTTCAGCATGCTTGAAATGAATAATTCGAACTGCCAAGAGGTAGAAAGTGCCTACAAATCACTTTATCAGCAGGTAATAGCATGGGCCAAAAGCTGTCTTGTAGCTCACCACTTAACTCTCAATGATCAAAACAGCACATCATAATGGAGCTGACCAAAATAAATAAGCAAAATTCAATGAATTTAGACCAATTTACAAGAGATTTCTGTATATGTACATGTGCATAACTTTTATCAAGCCAAGGCAGAATTCAAGTTAATGAACATGCAGACTAAACATTGAAATCCTTTGCTCAGAAATTAGACCAAGTGCAGTGCACATAAAATAATTCCACTAACTTTGCACATAAAGCAAATCATGTAACTGCCACCAGGAAACTTTCCTCCTTTCATTTCACTCCTACATACAAGACAGAACATTTCACACACCCTGCTATTTTATCAACTCTTAACATTTGTGGAATCACGAAGAAAACAAACCAATCTTGAAAACAATCTAAAATCATAACAAATCAAACAATTCTTGCATGAATTACAATCAAGCAATGACATTGGAACAGAAGAGAGATGAATAAAGGAAAAGAAGCTTAGAATGAACCAAATATGCAATGGAACATCAAAGAAGACGAGGAAAAGAAAAAAACTGCCAGAAAAAAATAAAAATAAATATAGCAATACATAATGGCTCATAGCACATAAAAAATAAACACATTAAATTGGCCCTGTTCCATTCTTCTCCAGTCTTTATGCCTTTAACCAACACGAGAAACAAATCTGTATTCCACAAAATATTTGAAAGAAAATTTACCTCGAGTTGATTTAACATGTCAACAGCAGTTTCCAAGTCACCCCTGCTAGCCATAAAGACATCAGTAAGGGACTCGTCTGACATGCCAGGAAAATTGATCCGAAGATAGTCCAAGTACATTTCAAATTCCTCATCCACCGTCTGCTTCCCTGTCACTTCATTCAGATTCTGTGACGATGAGCCATAGAAACCATACCTAGACTGACTCTTTGGAGTAGACACTTCAGGAACACAAATTGGCCCTTTATCATTTTGCATGATCTGTGCATTATGATCAGCAGACCCATACCACACATTTTGATTCCCACTCCGCATAGTCCATCCTGGAATTTCAATTCCATCAGCTGAATCCCTTTTCGAGAGTGGTATATAAGACGCTGCATAAGGGTTCAAAGCAGATGCTCCTCCCGGCTTCATTTCCTTAGTTCAGTAAATCACACCTGTTCAAAAAAAAAATAATAATAATAAATCAGAAAACCCACCGTTATCAACTCATGAAATCACTGTTTGATTCAAAACCTAAAAAAATAAAAATTCAACAAAAGCCTTGCCATCAAACACGGTAAATTAAAACAAAAAATTAGTAATAGAAAAAAAAAACGCAGTTCACAAAATCTTTGTGTAAAGAAATAAAATAAAACCAGAAGGATCTCGTTACGGAAAAAAAAAGAAAAAAAAACTAAAAGATCACAACTATAATTAACATAATCATACCTAGTTAATTCTTCTTGAATAAGCGAATTTTAACCTCTCTTTTTTTAGTACAAATCAATTAAATAAAAAATAAATACAAATAAACTACAGAAGGATCAATTATTTCATTTAACTACCATTACAAATTGTAAAAAAACGATCAAAATTAAGAAAAAAAAAACGGAATTTAGAAAGATAAATATCGAATTGACGATCTTGATATTAATCACAATAATGAGAGAGCAGAGACAATAATTAAGGAGATAAATTGTGGATAATTTACCAGAAATAATCGATCGCGTAAATTGATATAAATCTTGAGAGCAAAGAAACCCTAATTTTTTGTTTTGGGATTTTGGGATCAAAGAAAGAAAAAAAGAGAGAAGAAATGATGGGGAGAGAAGAATCCGCGAGCTACTTGTTAATAAAGGTTTCAGTCTTTCGGACACGGGGGTTAAAGATGACGTTTTGAGATCCGTTTGGTAGCTTCCGTTATTTTGTAACCGCTGCAGCGTTTATACCTTTAAAACGGCATCAAATTGTTTAGCGGCATATTACATACGGTGTCGTTTACGAAAGACGTTATGTTTGGTCGTTAGGTACTTCAGCTTTTGTGCTCCCCTACGTAAATAGAAGCGGGATTTATTGGCAATTATCATGGTATTACTTGATAATCATAAATTAGTCCTCCTAGTTTTACAAAATGAATTTAATAATTCTTTTTGTTTTAAAAATTAATTATTAAATTAGTCCTTCTAGTTTTACAAAATAAATTTAACAATATTTTTTGTTTTTAAAAATAATTATTTAGTATCATAATCAATGTAATATTATTTTTTATTCCAAAAACATCTTTTCTATTTTTATATTTTTTACTTATTTTTTTCTTTTTCTATTTATTAAAAAATAAAAAATAAATTATAAATAAAAATGATTAAGTTACAAGTAGATTTAAAAATATAAAAACTAATTAGTTAGTTATTGAAACTAGAAAGACTATTTAGTTGTTTTTGAAAATAAAAAAGATTAATTTATAATTTACTCTAACTCTAAAGAGGTGGGTCTAGTCCTTAAGCAGGTTTGCTTTCTTTTTTCTTTTTGTTTTATTTTTTTTGAATTCCAATCTTTAGATCAACTGCAAGAGAAATCTATTCTTCTAAATGTACTAAACTAAAATTGAAAGTGTTTTTTTTTTTTTTTTTGAGATATAGAATAAAATTTATTTTTTATTCATGCATAAATTGATTTTGAAAAAATCTCTAAACTGACTTTAAAAAAAAAAAAAACCCTAAACATTCAATAATTATCATGATATGTTTCTTTTTTTTTTTTTTTTTTTTTGAGTGAGAACATAATGAACCAGAACTAACTCATAATATTTGTGAAATGAATCCTTTTTTAATATACACATCTATATTCATATAGCATAAATTTTGTGTCGAAACATTTGATTTGAGTAAAATATATATATTTTTTTTAACTTAATGTCTAAAATATGAATTTTAATGCTCTTTTATTCATTTTCTTAAGAATTTTAATTCCTTTTATGTTTTTTATTTTTCCTTCCTTGCATATAGCTACTTATTAATAGTTGTACCTCCTTTTCTATATGTGGCTCAATTTTTAATATCTTTTTTTTAATTCCTTTTCTCAAGAATTTTAAAACCTTTTACATTTTTCATTTTTCCTTTTTAGTACATAGCTAATTATTAGTAGTTGTATTTATTTATTTTAATTAGCCACTATTAATTGATTATTACTCTTTATATAATTTCTAGTTTTGCTCTTACCTTTTCTATAATTTCATGTTTTCCTCTTTATTTTCTCCATATATAAAGTCTTTCTCAATTTAACTTAACTTTTAGCTTCAATAAATAAATAAAAAATATATATTATTCGGCTCAAGTTTGTGTATGGTTTCTTGACAGCTTTTGATAAACCAGCTAATTAACATGTGTAATTGGAATAAAATAAGGCTATTAAAAAAAATTATAACAATAGCTCCAAAAATACACATTAAGAAAATATGCTAAACATGGAAATATATTAATATTTTCTTTCCTCCAATTTTTTTCTATAAAAAAAATTTAAAATCTACTTTCAATTTCACATACTAATAGTTTCTTTTTTATTCTTTAATCAAACAATCATCGGTTTCCTATGAGCATGAAGGTTTGTTTGGCATTAATTGTAACAATTATTTAAGTTTTTTTTTTTTTTATGTCTATCTTTTAGCTAATAATTATCTCCTTCCTCTCCTTGATTAATTATATTTAAGCTTTGTAAATATATATTTATTTATACCACCATTTTTTTTTATATAATACAAGGATTTATAAAAAATATACTGCTGATATAATCATGTTCAAATTCAGCAGAGTCTTGAATAAAGTTTTAATTCACATTCGTATCCTATGTATTTGTGTTATATATAGATTTCTTTATTCAAATTTTATTTATGTATAGAATTTAATTGATTTTTTTTCTTTTTTCTTAGAATTAATTTCAACATTTTTACATATAAAAAAAAATTATCTCTAAATATGAATGCACGTGTCAAAAACACTAGATCCTTAAAACTAAAATCAGTTGTTTTTTTTTTTACCATTTAATTATCACTAGCCTAAAATTAAATTATTTGTTAAAATTGCATTAATTTACACTTGTCTATGCACGTTATTGATTGTAGTATAGAAAACAAATCAATTACAGATGCTACTAAAATTAGACACTGCTTATACAATTATTCAAATACAATTATGCAAAAATAATATTTTTGTAAATATGAAAAAAAAAATTGACATGACATAATAATTGATAATTTTTATAATAGGTGTGAAAGGTCAAATGAGATAATTTTTGTTTGAGACAGAGGCAGTAATAGTTTTTCTTTATCGAATAACTAAAAACTTGATTCATCGGTATGTTATTGTTTGTCTGTTGGGGCTGGGGACCACAAAAGCGCACAATTTATAGTTGTCATAGCGACTTGCATTATATTTTATAATTTGAGGACTAATTTGTAGTTAGCTCTCCAATTTATATTTTATAAACAGGAAAACTGAACCGTGAAGTGGATGAGGTAAGTTCTTCAGCACCTTCAGCACTTCGACAGAGAAAGAAGAGATCATGGCAACGGCTATTCACTCACTTTCTCTATTCACACCAAACCATCACCACCCTTTCTTTAGGTACTTCTCTCTCACTCAATATTATATCTATGTCTTGTGACATGGCTTTCTAAAGATGATGTTTTTTCTTTTGTGGGATTTTCATTTCAGGGATCAGAGTAGAACCTTGTTAAACCAGAAGAAATGTAAATTAAAAAAGAAGAGTATGGAATTTTCATGTGCTTGTTCTTCCTCAGAACCCAGTTTGCAAAATGGGTTTTGTAGAAGGGATTTGATGCTTTTTGGTCTCACTTCTTCATTATCCACTGCCCTCCCGTCCTCAGGTAAGCTTAAGCTTCATTCAAAGCTTAACTTTTTTGTTGAAGTTTTGAATTTTCATGTTTTTTTATTTTATTTTATTTTATTTTATGATATGACTGCTGTAGCAAGGGCTAATGTGCTGCCTTTCTTGTTGTGCTTGCTGTAGACTTGCGAGACATATATAATTAATACCTAGAAAATGCAAGAATTTTGCTTAGTGTTGTAGTTCTTTCCAGGGATACTTGCTGAGGAAGATCCAAAGATGGCTTCAATGGTTGATGAAATAAATGCTTATACTTATTCATATCCAGTGGAATTGCCATTTAAAAAGTTCCTCTTCCAATGGTAGGTTTTTTAATCTAAATGCTATTCAGTATAGTCTGGTGCATTATGTCTGTATGTTCTTTTATCTGTATGTTTTAACTGCAATTCTAACTGAAGAATAATTTTTTCTTGAATTGGTTGATTATTTTGCTGAGGGAAGGGCGAATTGGAATATATTAACAAAGAAATTGAACATCTATAGACTTTCATATATCTGAAAAAATTGGACTACGTTTAGAAATTTGTTCCCTGGCGAATGATTTTACTATCAACTATCAAGTTCACTCTGATAGGGAACCATTTTAATTGGATTTCTGTTTTTAACAATAATTCCATAACTCAATGTGTTCAAAATGTTGATAAATCTTATGTGGTGTTCTATCTCCAATTTTGCTTCTCTTTGCTGCTATGGCGTGTCCTTAGAAATTATGGCAAATAACTCTGTTAGCAATTTTCGTATTGAAGGGTGGAATCCAGAAAGCCTGAACGCTATTCATCAGCTGCACCACTGTCCCGTAAGTTTAGTTAATTTGCTATATGAGGGATCAGAATAACATGAATAGCGTGTCCCTTCTAAAAAAGATATAAATTCCTGCTTGCATTGTTTTGAACTTGATACAGCTGATGCACGCCTGCGTATTGTGTCCGAGCGTGTTGACCTTATTGATAACCTCATCCTTTCTGTTTCGGTAATAATTCCATGTGGCCTTATTCTTACTATACGCAATACCCTGAGGTTACTTTTTTCAAGGATTATGATTTTATTTCTTTGATTCAGATAGGTCCCCCGAATTTTCAGTTCGTAAAATCCAAAGACAAGAGTACCTGGGCTGCAAAAGATGTGGCTGATTCTGTTTTGTCTGACAAGTCTTCACTGGTAATATGTTTTTTTTTTTGTTTCCTTTTAAGCAGGGGCGGTACCCTGGAAATTTTATTAATTAAAAGAGAAAATTACAGGGGGAGTAATCCAGCCTAAACCTCATAAGTGGGGGTACAAGGAGACCTAACTCCAAAAAATAATACAATCACGTTATATTGCATAATTATAAAAACCATATCTATCATGCCAGCCGGCAATTCTAATCTCCAGAGCAGGTCCCTATAATTGGAAAAAAGATGTTTGTCTTCATGTCTATATGCCAGATTCACTAGTTTATCAGCTACCAATCAGGTATATAGTCTCAGAACATGCACAAATTCATGTATTGCTTGTAAAGCTCTACATTGGTGTATCTTGTAATAATGCATATCTTGTAAGAATGCTGCCATGGAGCATTGACTATACCTTGAATGGTTGTATTGCTATTAAGGAGTCAGACTCTACCTTAACTGAAGTTAAAGCCAAATTCTTACGTAAATTCAATCCATCCCATAAAGCTAGGAATTCCCCTTTCATGTTAGTTCTTGCGCCATAGTAATTAGAGAAACCAGCGGTAAATTCACTGGTAATATGTCTTAGCATTGTTTGACAAACATATGCGATGGATTTTCTACTGTGTTTAGGACCACTGTGACAAAAACAGAATAGGTAATTTAAACATAAGTTTCAATCTTAGATTCAATCATGAATTTCTCTTGTAATAGGAAGCATCTTCTTAAATTTCACCCTAGACTTACATTGATGCAAAACTAAGTTCTACAGAAAAATTACATCTGTCCTAACAACCTCAGAAGTTCATTGGACTGTAAACATGAGTCCCTAGATTTATTTGCTGAAAACAAATGGCTAAAGATTGCACCTGTAGAGGTTTGTTGGATCATAAACAATACAGCCAACACTAGATTTCTGTTGAATCCTATTGTAGCTTTCGTGGTGAATAGGGGTTGTTACCTGAGAAACCATGCCGTCCTGGACAGCACTGGCAGATGATCTCTCTTTGTGCTTCTTGAACTCCAGTTCTTCTGAAAGCTTAGCTCCTTGAATGAAAAATGCTGGTTTAACTTGCTTCATGATTCCTTTTGGCAGCGAGTCACTTCAACTCAACGTTTGTCTGAGAGTTCAATTCTTGATGCCCATGCTAATGAAGTAAACTTTGAAACCTTTTTTTATTTTGTAGTTTCCCAGATTGGGAACACTTCACACAGAAACATATATTCCTGTATTTCCGTCTATGGTTTTGCTTGTCTAACGTCAGGACTGACGTGGCATTTTTTTTCTTCTTCCAGATTGATGGTGAGCCATACTGGTTTTATGAATATATTGTACGGAAGTCACCCACCAAAACTGTAAGTGCTCCCTTCCTTAGCAGGATTCTCATGTGAAATATCTGCATACGGCTCTCTGTTGTTGATAGTTCCCATGGGAATTTGTAGGCTCAAGAATCAAATCTTTTCCGACACTACACTGCTTCAACAGCTGAACGAGATGGTACGGAACCTTTTGTTTTAAGCGCAGAGTTGCTGGAAAATTTATCCCAAAATCCTTTTCTTTTCTCAACTCAATGATACTAAATGTCAACTGGTGACTGTTTACTAGGAGGCACAACATCCACATCTTTTCTTGTTGAAATCTTGAGCATATTCTGTGGTTACGATTCTACTTTTGTTTTGAAATTACAGTTCAACTCAATCGCAGGTTATTTGTACTCTCTAAGTGCTTCAACTCTAAGCAAGCAGTGGGACAAGGTATAGCTCTCTCTTGTCTGTAATGAGTTGAAGCACACATCATTCTGCAGATATTTGTCTGGATTGGTTATTCAATGAATTGAGCCTAAACAAGAAATCATTTGTGCTGCAGATGGGGCCTTACCTGAAGAAAACTGTGGCCTCATTTCGCCTCCTCCCTCCCACACAAGACTATGTGCCTCCATACAAGGATCCATGGAGATTTTGGTGACAAGCTTTCATCTTATTCATTTATAATATCTTGCTCCCTTTTCTTTTTGATTCAATAACGGGTGTAGATTGAGTCGTTTTTGTTATTCTTTTGTTACATAATTTTGTTGAAATCATTACCACAACCGAGTTTTGTTGTCCTCTGTGGGATTAATGTCACCGAACCACATAGGTTCCTCTGATATGGTTGGTGGAGGAATGATTATGTAACATTTAGTTGGATGCTGTTCTATAGATTGTTATTAATAAGCATAAGTAAAACACCACGGCATTTCATCAAAAGGGTGAATAGGTACAATGGCCTATGGTAGACTAGAAGGCAGTCGAAAGCTTGACAAACAAGCAAAAAAGCCTTATATCTATTTCTTTAATTTGGTAGAGGTCTTTTCCCTTATTAGTCAAGTGCTAAGGTAGGGCGCTCTTCGATGAATAAAACAAAGAATTCAGGAAAGTGGTTCAAGTAGCTCAGCAGGTTAGAGCAAGAGACTGAAAATCCTTGTGTTACTGGTTCAAATTCACCTCAAGCAGGCACACAGAGTCTAGGAAAGTGGCTCATGTAGCTAAACAAATTATAGCGAAGGACTAAGAAATGAGAATTCTTCTGTCACTTGTTCAAATCCGCTTCTAAGCAGGGGAAGGGTCCAAAACAAAAGACACGTAGCCGGAAGCACGAGCAGCAGTTTTTCAAGTTCTGAATTGCGTCTTAGCAATGCAAGTTTTAGTTTTGCTAGATTAAAAACTACATCGACCACCCAAAACAGGGGTAAGGCAAATGCATACTCAAGAGAGGCTTGTGAAGAGTGCTGTGAAGACTGAAGCCAAGTGCTCTTGCCAACATGTGTTTGTGAAGGATCTAAATCATGCCTAAATCTGATTTCAATGATTTTTTTTTTTTTTTTTTTTTTAACATATGAACAAGCTCATTCACTTCTGAGCAAAGAATAACGGCATACACCTATATCTATTTTTACATCTACTTCCATTTCAATTTGGTTCTCTTTTCAACTACAAGTTGCTATAATCAATATCTACAACTTGTATGCTACAAGATTCAGCAAGCACAACCCTGCACTCCACAGAATCATATAATCTGCTCCAAAGGAAATACAGCAAGCCAAATATGGCAGTGGATCAGTCCTGAGATGTGGCAGAATATTCAAAGAGGAGCCGGTTGGAAGGAGCAGATTGTAGGAGCACTCGCAAACGGCTAGTGAGCTGGTAGATCAAGGTCCATTGCATAGCCATTTCTGAGTCTTTCATCTGCCTTACAATGGAGGCCTGAAAATAGCAGAAACAACAAGGAGAATGCTTCAGATGACTGTTAGATTTTAGATTGCCATTAATAAAGAAAGAATCATAACAACAGTCTTCAAAATAAGGACCAAGTTGGAGCATCTTCAAACCAGATCCAAATGAACGTGTAAATTTTTTCAGCCTCTTTCATTCTCATTATCACTTGCATTATCAAATAACAATCCAAACAAGATAATTGAAAAGCCTTTCCAAAAAATAATAGTAGTAGTAGTAGTAGTAGTAGTAGTAGGGAGAAAAGAAGACAGAGATAACCTGAAGACGTTTCCCAAGCTGAACCTCAACCTCTGTACCAAATGAAATATTATTGGCCAGAGATTTCAGAGGATCGATTGTAGGATCAACAGAAAGTAAATTAGGAATCTGCGGGGCGTAGACTAGCCTCCATCTAGCATGGCCAAACTCTCCCTTCCCTTCTATTCTTGGCATCAACTGTTCGAGTGTTGCAGTTGCAAGCTTTTTAAATGCAAGTTGGCCATCACCCTCCAATATGGACTCTGCCAATTGACTCTCAAATACTCTAGCAGCCTGTGTGAAAGGAAAATTAAGATTAGATTGCCTCAAGGAAACATTTTAATCCAAATTTTGCAACAGCAAACAAGACCCTGAATAACAGATATATGATGTATTGACGTGTGTAAGTGTGAACATGCATACATAGATAACACAAAAAATGCTTGATATCCATGATCTCTTTCTACCTTGCTGGACAAGAAAAAAAGAAGAAAGGAGAACATGTGAGATCAGAGATGTAGATGATCCATTTATTCAGAATTACAGTATCTAGACCTCTCAACCATGCGACATTCTGATACGTATAAGATCATCTGTCGTAGTTGACAGAGTGGCTGCAAAAATTCTCATGTTACCTCAGTTGGGGAGAGGGCATCTTGTTCCACAGAACGTGAGGTCACCACCAGTTTGTCCTGCCAATTGCTAGCACGGCTTTGAATCTTAAATTGCCACTCCGATCCAACCAAAACTAAGTCTAGCATAGGATCTAGTCCATGCTCAGGCTCAAATTTTGCTATATTTAAATGCTCTCGCTTAAGCCTCACCTGAATTTGGAGAGATCAATGGCAACATCATTGTGTGAAAAAATCAGAGACAACTTAAAGAAAAAAACAGAACACAAGCGCTGCATCAAACATATTTAGCTACAAGAGGATAGTTACTCACTTGAGTTGCAACGAGATTCACATCACCATTTTCAAATGTTAGAACACCTTTTGGTTTTATCCGTTTGGGGTGAGCCAAGCCATTGAGTTCAATCTCTCCACTGACAGCAAAATTGAGAATCAAAGGATAAACTACCCTCAACTCTGGTCCTAAAACAAGCTTCAAATCACTAAGGCGAATATCTACATTTGGTTTAATGTTCACTTGCTCCAAATCCTTTTCAACTTTAGTTGATTTAACTGCAAGTGCAAGAAATAAACATCAGAAAACAAGTTCAAAGAATTTGTTAACCAAAGGAACCTAAAATATTGACAGCTTTAAATGTAATGCATTTTATCAATGAGGATCCTTTCAAGTCACCCTAGGCTGACCAGGTCCTCCATGTAAACAAATATTTCAAAGAGTTTACATTTAATTCGATTTCCTTCTACAAAAGTATTTAGTACCCAGTCATAAGAAACCAACAATTTAACATATTACCAGCGGGTTGAGGGAACTTGGTCTTTGAAGCAGCAGGTTCTGAACTGAAAAACCGCGAAACATATCTAGAAGCAACCGCTTGGTTGACACCCCCAGCTGGAAGCCTGGGCTGATTGGATGACAACCTATTGAAAGGAGCAGCTCCACTACCTTTATCATGTGGTAGATATGCTTCTCCGTGGCTCAATTTAATATTCCCTGATATGTTTGGTTGCAATATTGAACCCGTTATTTGCATCTGGGTGTCAACCTGACCACTGATATAGGCAAGACATCAGTCCTCAACAAACTAAGAATGATCATACACTCAGCAACACAATCATGAAAATATCAAAAGGCACCTACCACATGCAACCAAATTTTAAATGGAAAATATATTTTCAACAAGCCAAGGAATATATTTTATAAAGATCTGTCTGTTATAAATTGCTTGTCTTACCTGAGTATATTTTTTGCCCGCACTTCCAGAACTTCACATTTCAAGTCAATTTTATCACCAAGAGATGCTTCACTTGTTCTGAGGGGCAGATTGCCTTTTATGAGCAGTTTACCCCTTCTACTTACCCGGCTCTCCAACAAAGTGATGCATAGCCGATTTGATTTTACATGGACAGTACCACCAAAGTTTGTAAGTGGTTTTTGGAGTACTGGTGATGATATAGATGCCCTGTGGAATGATGCAAATCCATCAACCACAGGTTGCTCAACGGTACCTCTGACCTGTGATTAAAAACATATGAGAAGTTCTGAAATTTCCAATTAAAAAAAAAAACCCAAAACCGTGGATTACAAAATCCCACTATTTTCTTATAAAATTTACACATACAAGATTCAAAGAACCACAAGTACTATCTTGACTAGCCTACCTGAAGCATAATGTCAGCATTTCCATGAAGCCAGTTGGCATAAGGAGATAAAGCTGTCAATAGCATCATTCCCCCATCCTTGATATCAGCATCAACCCTAACTTCTCCTACATCTAAAAATTTCCAGTTCAAAACTTTAAGAGTTTCTGCTAGTTGAACATTCCTACCTTCTTCAATCCTCTCTCTAAAAACCTTCTTTTCGCTGGCTTCGTCAACATGTCCATTATCCATTTCCTTCTCCCAGCCAGGCACCCATTTTGCTCCACTTTTATCTGTTTCTTGATCTTCTTCCTCCAATGAAGAATTTTGGACAAAATTAATGGGAACACTTCCTTGTACGTGTACGTGGCCATTTTGGATGATTGGTTCAAATTTGGCATTGAATAAAAAACGACTGGTCGAGGTTAGTGAAGCAACAATTTCAGCTCGTCCAAGATCAATGCCCCCAATAGCACCATCCAAGAGCCGTACTTGAACATCGCATTCTGGTTTTGCAAGACTTCCTCTAAGATCTCCTTCCATGTGCAATATACCCCGAATTGGGGCTAACAGTTGCCGCAAAGAATGAACAATGTCAGCAGCTGAAGATTCAATGACCTGAACTATTGTAGGAACTAGACTAACAGGAAAATTCAGAACAGCAAAGTGAAGATTGGTTTTTGGCCCTAACAAAGTTCCATCAGCATGTATTGTGGCATTATCCTTTTGAATAAAGATCCTCTCAAGCCGCAAACCATCATTGTTGCTGTAAGCTCCAACTGCTACAACACGCTGAGTTTTGTAGGTGCCCCACTCCCAATCCTCCCCGTGAAAGTCAAATTCTGCCTGGAAAAACAAAAACACAAGGGAAATCAAAAAAGAAACGAGAGAGAGTTATCTAAAGGAGAGGAACAGAATTTTTATGGAATCATGAAATGATCTAAAACTAAACCATTGTATCCCCATTGCCTCCACCACTTGCATCAAGAGAGCCATGCCAGCGGCCTTTAAGTTCAGCTAAACCTGGAAGACTGATGTCTTCAAGAATAACTTCATTTGATGGTGTATAATGCCCTCGCATTACCTGAAATTTTTTCAAGCTGTTAAATCCATAAAGACATGTGAAATTGGCTCCTCCTATTAACATGAAGCTTTTTTATAAGATACGAAGATATCAAACGAGATTGTAGTTTATCAAAAAACTACCTCAAGCAAGTCTTGGAAACATTCCGGATAAAATCCTACAGAATGCAAACTTTGAATGAAAAGATCCTGCAAAGAAGTGGTGCACCTATCAGGGATCTCTATTTGAAAAGATTTAAGTACTGTAGATGTCTTGAACTGTAAACTAATAAGATGAGATGTTTTAATCTACAGTAAGATGATTATCATGATATATGGCAATTTCAATTACTTAAGCGAACACAACCTTTGATCTAGATCGAACAGCAGGATCTGTACTTCGAGAAAGAAGTCTTGCTAATGGAAGCATCTCAGCAACCTCGGCTCGAGGAACTTCAAGTCTCATTCTCCATCTTCCCATAGAAGATATGACACTACCTAGATGTCCAGTCATTGCCATTTGGAACAGACCACCACTTTCCTTTCCAGCAAGGTTTCTGTCCCGGGTGCCAGGTAACACATATTCACCTTGAAGCTCATAACGGCTATTGCTTTGTTCCAAAACAGTTTTTTCGAGAGTGATCTAAACAATAGCATATTACCCAGTAACAAAATCATTAAACTTGCAGTAGCAGAAAGGCAAAAGGAGTATCTATCTTTCCAAACAAGCATGCATATGCATGCGATAATTTCTGGAGATAGCTATTGGAGCATAAACTAAATAAAGAAGTGATGATTGTGGCAATCATATGACGTTACAATTTGAACTCTTAATCCAAAACAGTTCCTTACAAATGATTTATATTATAGGTAAGAGGATAGCCAGTTAATATTCTAGACATCTCCTCAGTCCTAAAAATTTCAAATGTGAATATGTCACTGCAGATATTATCTAAGATAATTGCAAACTACTCTCAGGACATGAATTCACGATGGGTGAAGGTAAATTTAGCTGATTTTCTTTTCAGCTATAATGAGAAACACTAATAGGAAAACACTATTTCCAGCAATAGAAAAACACTGAAGACAAATAACTGAGCACATCTCAATTTTCAAAAGAGAAGAAAAGAAGATTGGGAATCATTTACATGTTCTAAAGATGAGTTTTCAAATAAATAAATAAAAACAATTGCATTTGGCATGAAAAGTTACGTTTTACTATGAGTCATAATTAACAATTTACTTTTCATAAGATGGTTTTGGCTTTGGTTCTAATATGTTTGGTAAAAGTGCTATTAGAAACAACTAAAATAATAAGTAGAAGTCATGCCAAACGCCCTGATTCAACATGAATGTCAACTACTAAGTTATAAAGGGCATCAACAGAAGCATGCAAGACACTGCTTGCTTCACAATGCACCCATGGAACCATACAATCTTTAACACAAAATCAAAAAGAACATGCTAATGATTGTTTTCTTATAGTTCAGTCAGAAGAAATATAGAATTCCCAAGCTATATGACTGAGCATTTGTACCATCATGGTCAGATTCATGGTACAGAAACTTTAGCTTAAGTACTCACAACATCACCACTCCATCTAGCAGCCACGTCTAGGGCTTCGCCAAGCACACCACTAAATTTTGGACGAAGAACAGATAACACACCATGACCCCTTCTTTTCTGAAGATTAAGCTGAATTTCTGCCTGCCAGTAAACAAGCAGCAAAAGGCTGGGTAACATTTTCAAGTCCAAAATGATAATTGATACAATCATCATCATAAAAAGTCTAGTAAATCACAATTCCACCAGCAGGAAATTCTTTTATGTGTTTTCAGAACATAATAAAAAGAGAACATAGAGTAGATACTTCTATCAGAGTTCACAAAAATATTGAAATACTGAATTTCCAGAAAAAGAGACATCAAAAGTGAATAAGATACATGTGTTCCTCCAATAACTACCATAAAAAATAGGATTCCTCCAAAGACAGAATTTTTGTCCCCTATGCCCAAATAAGTTCCTCCTACCTTATTAATTGGGATTTCCTTACAAGTTTATGCCAAATTTTAACTTTTTTTTTCACGAGCTTACTGTCTAGAGAAGGACAGAATTACCTACATCATTACTGTCAAAAGTTAAGATGCATTCTGCATATTAAATTCAAGTAGCAGATTTTCTCATATAACAATGGCTGTTACAAAGAATTTGCACGCACTTCCTAGATTTTCTGGGTCATGATAACACTAGCCATGAATATTATTATAGACATATGTATATCTTTTTGACAGCTCAGAAAGAAAGCAGCCAGCTGCCAAATAATCCGGTGTTTACGGGCTATAATAGGAACAAGTGAAGGTCCATATCATTCGTTTGTTATGGCAGACCTGTGAAGGAGTTTCTACAGATCAATATAGTTCAAAAATTTAATTGAAACATGGTAAAACCGATTGTGGAACATTCCTGCTGAACTTACAAGCCTATAACACTAGATTACATATGTCTATCTCTTGGTAACAATAATATCACAAGAATATCGTGTTCAGCTATAATGGCCAGCATGTAAAATAAAACAAGCCCAAATAAGTTGCTGAAATGCAGAAGAAAAACAGAACAGATTCATTCTTAATGGTAACTGCATTCCAAGTTAACAGGAAATACCCTCAAGGCTTACCCTTTGTATCGTTCCCCGAAGAGAAGCCAACTCCAACTCATCCAGAGGCAAATTACGTACCTACAACAACCTCATAAAAAACAGAAAAATCAAATACCTACATTCTGCAAAAGAAAATCATTTTCAATATAAAGCAGAACGAATAAATAAACTCAAAGTAGAGATGCAGAAATTTTCTTTTTTTCATTTTTTTCAAATCATGGGACCTACAGATACCTCCAATGTAGCAGAATGTAGAGGTTGGAAAGAAACGTTAGCTCTTAGTTGTCCCTTCTGAAGGTTAAAAGACAACAATTTTCCATTTTGTGAGCTCTCTTCATAACCAGGTTGTAGTGGGCCCACAATCTCCACTGCAAGACCTTCGTCTGGCCTTCCCATGGCATCCAACTGCGCTACCAGAAAGAGTTTCAGTTTCCAGAATAGATTGCCATGTAAAACAAGAAGAGGTAACAAGCAATTGTAGAAAGAATATAACCACAACCTCTATTTTCTTATTTGTTTTAAACATATTAAATATTCACATAACCATATATCAAAATTGGATATGCCGATCAAAAACACTGATTCCAGCTCCTATAGCTATGGTGCAGACACTACATACATAAACAGACAATCCAGATACTACAGCTTCCACAAGGTGAATATAAGCACATAGCATGTCATACTTAAAAATAAATGCACTATAGCAAAACGCACACACACACATATGGAGATACAAGAAAGCCATTGCCTTGATTCGATCACGTGAAATGCTCAACTGTCCAGCCAACTGGGGTGCTAGCATCAACTGATTCAGCCTAAGACCTGTGATCGAAACTTCACCAACAAGACCTTGTGTACTCCCTTCTACTTCCACATGTAGCATATCCGTCTCAGAAGCAAGATCTTGCTCATTAACTATAGTGGAAGGTTTTAGCACCTTTCCCTGAAATTTGATTTTTCCTGTTGCTTTCAAGTGTGTGGGTCTTGGAGAATCAAAAGGATAAGACGATACTAAGCTGAAAAACTCGAAACCACGCATTCGTAGATCCAACTCGACTCCTTCAACAGTAAATGGCACAGACCTCTTTCCATCAAACTCTTTTCTGTCCAGGAAGTATTCATCAGGATAAGACGTTTGAACTTTTGTGTCCAACTCAAAAGCAGCAGATGAAGATTTAATAGTAATATAATCATGTGAGATCATGATATCTCCCCGAGCATCACTAAATGACCCCTCAGCTTTTGGTGCACTCCACTTGATGTCAAACCTCCTATGTCCAGAAAGAATGGCCGATCAACCACAATACATCAAACACATGAAAATAAAATCATAGAATGAAAAACTAATGTGCAATGACAAGGAAAAGCCTATGGAGCTCACGGTCTTAAAAGGGATCCAGAAAGTTTTGTTTCTCCAGTTAGGTCCCCTAATTTTAGAGGCATCAACTGTAGGTACTCTGGAATATATCGATGCATAATCTTATCAAAGGAAAAGTTTCCAGAAAAATTTACGTCTATTGCTGCATCATCCACCTCACCCTGTGACAAAGGGTTTTACATCAGAATGGAGTTTAAAAAAAATAAAATAAAAAAAAGACTAAGGAACAAGTACTCCATGCATAAACATGCAAATTTCAAGAACACCACCTTTTATATTCCTATTTAACAGCTGGTCAGACAACATGGCAAAAGTTAGACATTGCAGATGACAGTCTACATGGTATAAACTTATTAGATTCAAATCAGAAGTGCCAAGGAATCCATATAAAGCATGGCATGGTAGGATCATAAAAGACCAAGAGCAACTTGCTAAAATAGAATTGTACTGGCAACAGATGTGGAGTTAAAATACTGAAGTCCATTAAAAATCTTTTTTCATCACTATGCTCTCTAGTGTTAATAAAAATGCTAGTTCTTACAGTTCACACGTCAAAGATATGAATATACCGGAGACCGATTGGAAAAAAAAGATAATCATGCATGTCAGTGGAAAACGGGAAATATCAATTGTAGTCCAATCATCAGCTATTGTTTCAAATCTAAGAGAAAGTCTAAAAAAATATGCTACACAGAATTTTCTTGTCTTTCATGGAAAAAAAAATGGGTCAAAGAAAATGCTATTTTGGAGTTCTATCAATGCCTGTATACGCAAAGATCCAACAAGAAAGAAAGGCATAATGTAATCCAACTGTAATCATATACCCTTTAGAGTGAACTTAGGTCTAAAATATGAGAGAAGATATCACAAGAGAATCAAGAAAGCTCAATCCTAGTTCACAATGCAACAAGCCATGCCATCTGACTTCCTAGCAGGCTGTGTATCAGTGTGTGCTGAGAAAGAGACAGAAAAGAGAGGCTATAGCAGAAGCAGTTTACCTCTGGGCAAATCCATGCATTCCCTGCTCCTCGAATTTCACCACCATCTACTAGGCTTGCTCTAATTCCATACAAGTCAGCAACCTATATCATGAAAACGTGCACAGAATTAAATCTGTACTCAAATTGAAAACAAAAGAGTTTCGTTCTACTTTAGAGTATGTGTGATCAGATATTCAAACAAACTTACGCAATTATCAGTGTTAAGGGTGAAATTAGCTGATAAATATGAAAAGGGAATGCGATCAAAGGCTGCCACAGCACCAGCCTCTTTGCTTTTTAACATTGCTTCTAGTGCAGCAGATGCAGGGACATCTGAAACTGAATGAGATATCTTCCTTGAAACCACTCCACTTCCCACAAATATAGGAGCATCCAGTGGGCCTTGACAGTTAAATACAGCAGTTACAGAACCAGCTAACTGAAACCAAAGGAGAAAGAAGATGGAGATAAATTCACAGTGGTCAGTATGAACTCATTTTTGGTCCCCAAGCTGTTTAAAAGTATAGTAATTACTCATATCGATTTGAAAATATCAGAAGAATTAACCCACCAGAAAAAAACTTGAAGAACTTTAAGTTGCAAATTCAAGTCAATGAAATCCAGACACTTACCGGGAACAATAAAGGTCTCATCTTAAAAGTTTTCATCAAAGCATTTACTTCAACACAAGGGACCTAAATACATTGATAATGCACATATTATTAGTTTGATAGAAAATAATACATAACAAAATTAAGTAACAGAAATAATACATAACAAGCCACTGGAACCTGCCAGTTTGAGGTCAAAGAAAATTCCAACCAAAATTGCAGCTTTTTGTGATAAGAAAGTTCAGACATATATACCACATATATAATGTCTTCAACAACTCATTATTAGCAGGATTAAAAAGGTGTTAGACTACAGAGTTTAAGTTACATATAAAATAAGAAAAGACAAAGAACGAAGAAAACATAATGATTGGGTTGTAACTAAAGTTCTAACGAACTGCTGCAGTCATTTATATGGTTGACGTCAAAAATGAGTATTTCTGTCATTTGAAATCACGTTATCTAATACATATTCTCCCAAAATCACATCTATATGAACCATTATTGGAGGATCCATGCTTGCATTATAACAGAGTTCATACCCACCATCCAAGTAAGGAGCCACTACTCTTCAGGTTTTCTCCTTGATCAATTCCTGATCTGAACATAAGATCAAGAACTCCATTGTGAGAGATCAAGTAGGACTTCCACATGGATGTCTGTTTTATTCCATGAACTTTTGCAGTTGAATTTTATGTTCAAAGGAAAATCTCATAGGCTAGCAACTATAGTTTCAATGTCATGACTGAAGCATTCTCCACCATGTGAAGAATGTCGCATCAATTCTACCTGGATATCCCTTACTGAATAAGATAAATTCCACAAAACAGCCATCAAAACATTCACTTTAGCACACATTGGAAGCATCAACCTTCCTGTCCCAACTTAACTGTCAACTCATATCCGACAAAATGGAGTGATGCTGAAGTCAAGAATACATACATCCTCTAAGTCTGAGGCAGTCATATTTAAGACCATACCTGACACATTAGATGAAATTCTCCTTCCTCTGGATGAATGCCAAAATCTCCAGAAGCTTCTAAAGGAACATTGCCAAACCAGCCACTTGCATTATGCAAGAATATACGTTGGCCGCGGAAACATAAACTTGCTGAAATATCCTGTCAAATGCAGCGGTCAAAGTAAGATTTCCAGCCTACCAAAAAGAATTAGTTTCCATATTTTAAAGAACATACTGAACAGTAAATGATGATTTCAACTCTTTCAGTATACACCTGAAAAACCACATCAAGATAGGTGTGAAGAAATTTTGCATACATTATTTTGACACATCACAAGAAGTAACATCAAAATACAATGAAGAGTATATTAAAGGGTAAATTGTATCAGGGCCTCCTGTGCTATTGATCAAGCCACAAACAGTCCCTGAAGAAAATTGGGGGTAAAAATTAGTCATAGCGTCGCAGGTTTCCATACAATTTTTGAAGGTAAAAATGTGTCAAGCCCTCCTATACTATTGGTCAAAGCACAAATAGTCCCTGAACAAATTATTTAACGCAAATTGGTTCCTTCTATTAAGTGGGCTATGATATCACATGCTAGGCACGCAATGTTACTGATGCAGACGCAAAAAGACTAAGATTTATGTGTTTTATTTAAATTTTAGAATGCAAGGGTATTTTAGTAAAATTGGGGGCATGGTGACTTGAGTAAAGATGGAATGTCAGTCCATTCACAACCTTTCAACCATCCTAATGGTTCAAAACCAACTTCTTCTAATATAACCCATACCAAAGATAGAGACAACAAAGCACCTGTTTGTTTTAAATGTGGAGAACATGGACACGTGGGTTACCAACCTCCTAAAAAGAATAATTTGCAAGTTGGGATTGCACAAGGAAAGGAAGCTGCAGAACAGGAATCAGATTTGGCAGGAAATTCTTTGGATTTTGGGACTAAAAAGCACAAATCACCAACGAATAATTCATACCTATATTTAGATCACAAAGAAAGTGGCAATAAAGTAAAGAGATCTATAAATGAATATGCAGACCATGAACCATCTGCCTGACAAAATAATATTTTTCTGCCAGCTACAACTTATCAGCAACTGAAGTATGAGATATGCTGAAACAAATATCTCCATAAAGTGGAGAGAAAGAAAACAAGCATTTAAGAAGATATCAAACAAAGACGTACAGAAAACCATGATGGAGCATCATATATCTGAAAGGCCAATCCTGTCACGTCTAGTTGTCCATGAAGATTAGGAAACGTTTCCCCTCTAGACATACACAAGTGAACCTGCAAAGGAGAAGGATGCAACTAAAATTCTCTCAGATTTTATAAAATATATAAAAAAAAATGTCCTTTAACACCTTCTTTCAAGAAAACAAATATAAGGAATCAAAAGATTATCTGTGGAAATGAAACATTTAAATCTTTTTTTTTTTTTTTATGGAAGTGCAGAGTATCAAGAACCTCACACAACACCTACAACTTGTCAAGGCAGACAATTGTGATGCCCAGCAGCTAAAGTAGAAAACATCCAATGGTAATAATTCTACCAAATATGCGAGCTCAGCTAACCATGCAAATTGAAACAAGCAACTTGATGCAAGTATAGAGCAAACCCAAATTCACTACCATAGGCAATTATGCTTCAAGGAAGAGATAAATATCTGCATTTCACTGGGAAAAATAAAAGATAAATCCATAAAAGCAGAACTAATAACCTACAAGTTCAAAGAGACTCAAAAATATAATTCTGAATAATAATAAACCTTAGCATTCAGAAGTACAACCATCTTAGTTCCTGACATCTGACTATCTGATCTCGCATGCTTCACAAATTAATAACATGTGCCCCAAATAACATGCATTTTAACCAGAAAAATCATCAAAAAGAACTTTGTCATCTTATTTTGCAACAACTTTTCTCCAATAAGTTCCCTCCATCTAGCTACATTAAGTAAATCAGAAATAATATTGGGAGCAGTTAAGAAATATCTCATGAAAATAACAACTAATTTTCCCTTTGGGCTCAACAGAGGAGAATATACCAGAGTACAGTAACTATAACATGAAAATAAAAAGATCCAGGACATCAGATAATTTTAAACGTTAATAACAATATAGACCACCCCAACTGTTCTGAAATTAAGCTGCATTCTTATATATTTAGGGAGAAGGATTAGATGAAATAAAATTGAATTGAAGTTAGAAAAGCACCTCACCAGTGGCTCTCCCTTTAGACCATGTGATTGGAATTTCTAAAATCCTTTCAAAAAGCTGCAAAGAATACCGAATTAAAACAGTTCAGTTACAATTTCTCTCATTCAGATCACAGATAAAAGGGTCTTAACAATTTCAAAAATACATACCAAATTCAGTGTATACCTTACCGGAGCAAAGAGGTTGACTATTTTTAAATTGGCGTGCCATGTCTGCTCGACAATATCAACAAAAACATCAGCAGACAGCCAGCCACCATCTTCAGAAATTGCACCAGATCTCCACATCCTACAGTTGCCGCTCAACTGAACATGCACACGACCATAATGATTTTGAAACTTCACATGTCCATCTACATTTTCCATCTCCCTATACATAGTGAAGTAAAAAGCATAAATGGTATGCATAAATCATTTGGTAGAGAAAACCTTCATCATGCACAGGAGAATGTGTCTCCATATAAGAACAATTCCATCTCCTATTTCAGCAGTAATCACTTCTTTTTTGGAATAAGTCCTGGATTGATAAAGAGGAGAGAAGAGTTGCATGGATGATAGAAATATCCTCTCAAAGGAAGAGCAGGAAGTAAACACAATACTAAAAAAACACAATGTAACAAGGCAATCCAATATTGTTGAAGATCCCAGTAACGACACTCCTGAATCAGTTCCCTTAATTATAATAGATCAATCTGTAACTTTATCAAATATCCTAACATAAAAATTGTATTTTTCACACAGTTCAATTTGTTGAGGCTACCACACAGATCAATTCAAAAGGTAGAAAACTAAAATGACAACATTAGAAAGCCACTTCTTCTAGTTTGATGCAAGAACCAGAATTGCTTATTAATATCGGTGGAGCACAAGTACATGTACAAATAAAACACTCAAAAATCCTATGCCAAAATGTGCATTGGCCATGAATTAGAAAACTAAACAATGAAGAACAACAGCAACTTTAGACACAAGCACTCACATATATATGTATGTATAAATACATGAATGCGTTTGCATGTGTGTGCGTTGATAGAGAGAATTAAGTGCCTGAGTCTATTCTATGATTGATATTAAGAGAAATTTTCAGTTTGTATGGGTGCAATTACAGGCTAACAGTTTTTAAGTATGATAGGAGTAGGAAACATGAGAAACAATCTTTTAGTTGAGGAAAGCAGATAGAAGTATGCATTAATTAATCCTAATCACACCAGCCAGGATAATAAAAGTGCCTTATTATGTAACATGAGTTAACCTCATTACTTATAACTCCATGAATGGTAAGAAGAAAATCAGAAACCAATAAGCCACTCCTCTCCACATAAACAATGAAGTAAACAATTGCCCAGTGAAAACATGATGCTGTATAACTAATAAATAGGAGTAGACTAAAAGTGGCACTCACCTAGGTTCCCTGTCACCATATGCAAGCAGCAACAGTGTTCCACCTTTGAAATGTACAGAATCCAGTGAAACAGGAAGCATCTTCTCAATTCCTTCAGACTGCACTACATCTTCCCCATCAACAAGTTCTGCAACGATATCCTCAACTTTAGGACCCACACCTGACTTAATCTTTTGAAATGGCCCAGCAAGAAGATGAGACAGCAGTTTGCTGACACTACTTGAAAAAGACAGTAAGTCAGATGCCAAACCAAAGGACCAACCGGGAACTGGAAGGTATGTTGCAGGACCAGGCTCCAGCTTTTCAGAAGTCAAATTTTGAGATGCATGACGGCTTTGAGTGCCCAAGTCATCAGCACCTATTTGTCTATTTACAGCACCAACTACTAAATCCAGGTCATTTATATTGTTTGTTTTAGCATCTCCCGATACATTTCTGACAGGCGGCAAATTTTCACTGACCTTTTGGACTTCAATGAGTTGGACAACGGTTGAAAGAAAAGTATCACGTATAATACTAAACTTGTCTATATGACCATGAACATTCTGATCCACTTCCAGTGGCTGGTTTCCTGAGTCTTTGTTCTGGCTCTTAGCTGTTAAGTCTTCATCACCACCACTTGCATCAATAGATATGTTCAGATTATAATCACCTCCCCTTTGAACTAAAAGGGAGTCGAGGTTCATAACATCATAAGCACACGATGACTGAGAAGGCTCATCAGACTTTTCACTGTATAAACCCTGGAAATATGCAACTGCTGCTGAGGCACTACGCTCAAGGATTCTTCTTTTGGCATTAATGCTGGCTGCTGAGATATCACTCCCATCAACCTTCCTCTTAAATTTGTTTTTTTTGGGTCCTCTAATCACACTGGACCATAATTTAAGGCCTGAACCAGGAAATTTTACACCAAAAGATTTCTCCAGATGAGCATGCTTCTTATCATAATCAAGACCCGTGTCCATGCAATGATGGTCCTTCCAATGCATCTTATCGTCCATGAGAGGGAAAGACACGAAGTTTCTTAGAGCATTCGAACGGATTGCATCATTCTTTGGAACATCATCTTCAGATCTACCAGGATCTCTTTCAGGAACAGTATAACCCTTCTCTGCAGCTTCCTTAGCATCAACATCCCTTTCTCTGTTCCACTGAGAAGCTGATTCCTCCCGGGCATGCCTCCTTGTTTTCGTACGAAAATCAATCCCTTCTTCATTGGATAAGTGCCTTTGTAGACCACCTTCAGATGATGGTATCCCCAACCAAGTGTAATCTTTCTTTTGCACGACCAGAACACTTGGATGAGACAAAATAGCATCAATCACAATCTTCCCCCTTCTCAGACTTGTGAAAGGACGAATTTGAAGCTTCATAGTAGGCACCTCACCGCAAGAAAATTCCTCACCATGAGGCCCAATTGAGCATGACTCCAAAGTAACGCTTAAAGGCGAAATCCTCCTAACCTTACCAAAATCAATTTCCCGCTGAATATAATCACTAAGCACCGAACAAACAGAAGGCAAAAGCTTCACCTCTATATAACCCTTAGCTCTATTCTGCCCATACCAAACCAATAAACACACCCCAGATATCACAGCCCCAAAAACCGAGCATCTCACTATCAACAACCCCTCTTTCCACACAGGAGCCAATGACATCACAAGAGCCTTACTTTGCACAAATGGCTCTTTCACACATTCCACCCTCAACCCATTTCTCAACCCAATAGCATTCCTTAATAACTCCACATTCTTTCCACAAAAATGCGAGAACCTAATCGCTTGAGCCACCCAATCACTATGCTTTTTCACACACATACATTTCCGAAAAGGGATTTTCGATAACTGTACTCTTCCCGGATACAGAGAATTGGCAAGGTTTCGACCATTTAATGGGGCATTAACTGGAATGCCGAGAAATGGGCTGCTAAGTTTTAAGCTCATTATCGTCTTTCACACAGTTTCTTGGCAGAATTGTAACTCATTTGATGGGGACCAAGAAACTTCTCTCAGTCCCCTAATAATTCACAATAGTACAGTGTGGCCAAGCATCCCAATCCTAAAATAACCCAGAAAAAATATCAAAACCCACTTTCAGAAAATGAAAACGAGTACTACAAGGTAAAGATTAATTCTACAATTTGAGCTCTAAGTTATGGTACTGTTTTCACATGGAGATGAATATAAAGAACATGATACAGAGAAACAAAATGACCTGAAGAGAATCGATAATTCTACAATTTGAGCTCTAAGTTATGGTACTGTTTTCACATGGAGATGAATATAAAGAACATAATACAGAGAAACAAAATGACCTGAAGAGAATCGATAATTCTACAATTTGAGCTCAAAGTTATGGTACTGTTTTCACATGGAGATGAATATAAAGAACATAATACAGAGAAACAAAATGACCTGAAGAGAATCGATTGAGCAATTTTTGAGAGAGAGAGACTGATATTTTGTTTCAGTTTCTTTGAGAGAGGGAGGCAGAGAGAGATTTTGCTTTGCTTTGCTTGCTTGCTTGGCTTTGCTTCTGATTTCTGGCTGGTGTTTTGCTTTTGCTTTTGTTTTTGTTTTTGTTTCTTCGGTGAGACGAGAAAGAGCGGAAGATTTGTGGTAGATTGACGAAAATGCTACCAATGAATTTCTCAAATACCGAGAATAACCTTCGATCCCAACCAAATTTTGGTGCTATTTCAAATTAAAAAAAAAATCGATCTCTTCGATCCTTATTCGAGTGCATTATAAACTAGTCCCTCTAGCTTAGAAAAAATTAATTTATTTATTTATTTGATTTCAAAAACTAATTATTTAATTGTTTTATTAATTTTTATTTTATTTTGAATTTTTATTTTAAAAAATATAAAATAATTAAATATATGAAATGAATGATGAGAAACAAAAATTTATAAAATAAAAAAATATTAAATAAATCATGATCAACACTAATTAGAATAATTAAATAATTAATTTTTAAAACCAAAAATACTAATTAATTCATTTCTCAGAACAAGAGACACTAATTTATAATTTACTCATTATTATTCTATTTTTATCTCCTCCACATTCTTTTTTCTCTAATTATGCATAAACTTTCTATTTTCTTTCTTCTTTTTTTTAAACCCATAAAATTTTAATTTTCAATTAATATTACAAAGATAAATCAGATAGTTAAAAAAAAAAAAGTTTATTTCTTTTCTAATATTTTGAACTGAAAACTTAAAACCAATATCAACTAAAATTTATTTTCTTTATTACATCATTGAAAAAAAAATTAGTTTGAAGATGTCTTTGTCATCCAATAAAAAAAATTGATTTGCAAATTAAATCGAAGAACATCTATTTCAAACAAAAAAGTGAAAATCAATATACGTTCTTTCGCTGCTCTGGATTACAGTGATATATGTATACACACACACGCTTTTATGGTTGATTTTCTCCTAATGAATTGGGTACGCTGCTCAGCTCATTATCCTATTAGGGCCGAATGACTGATATCAGGGGCATATGCCTAGACGTCTCCAATCTTAGATGCTGGGCGACGTAAAGCTTGAACAATCTTGATTAAGCCCATTCGGCATCGCAGTTGAGCAATTTGGTCCACTTCAAAATCATGCTTTTACGCATAAAAATATGAAACTAGTACAAAAATAATTTTAAATCTCATCTTTTGATGAAATAACAGATTACAATACAGAACTGAAGAATTCCTCACATGCACGTTCTCTTTCAACCAGCTTGCCTGAATCTAATTTGCATCAGAACAGCCAGAGTCTCAACATTCTCGAAGACCTTCCACCAGCAACAATAAAAAGATCCAGCCTTTCCAGTTCTGACAAATGAGTACGTAATCCAAAGAAAAAATGGAATCGCAGAAATCAAGTATCTAATTAAACAAGAAGACCAAATGCAACTTGCAAACAGAGCAAATTTGATTCACCAGTCACCAGCTTAAACCTCCCTTTGCTCTTTTCAACATATGTTTTCAAATAAACTGTAAAAGGTTCACTTAGCGCTAATTCATCAACAGGAAAAGACTGAGGTTCCAAGGGCTACATTACACAGAATTCAAGTCCAACTACTGTCCAGTGAAGAATTTCAATTAACAAAACTGCCAAAACTATGTTTTCCATGACAACCGAGCAAAGATAAGATCCAAAACTCCAAAGGGGAAACCTTTTTTTTTTTTTTCAATCCACGGCAATACAGCTAGAAAGTCATCTTTCACGAAGCCCACTGTTTATTTTGCATTGGTATATGAACAACAAGAAACACATGTTCATATGTGTGTGCCAAACGAAATGGACCTTTCACCGCACTGGCTGCTGGTTGTAATGATTCTTCTCTTTCTTCTTGGCTGCAGCAAGCCTTGCGCTTCTTGCAGCAGCCTCTTGAGCAGCAGCTTTTGCAGCACCATCCATCTCTTTACTAGACTTCTTCTTCTTTGCAGATGCCATCCTCTTTAGGCGTTCTTTCATGTCAACAGCAGAAGCATCCTCCTCAGCGTGTTCCATTCCAGCAGCTTCTTCTGGCCCATTATTGGCTTCTGAATTGGTGGGCTGATCTTGGGGCTCCTTTGCTGACTTTTCTTTCTTTTTCTTCTTCTTCGCGTTTTTGGACTCTCCAGCAACATTGTCCTTCTTATCTCCCTCTTCATTAGTCTCCCCATCTTTCTTCTCCTGTGCAGCATCTGCAGATGCAAGTAAAAAGAACTCTTGCTCAGAAGAGATTCCCACCAGAAGCATATTTAAAAAACTACATACTTCGCTACAAAGTTAATAGGGAACTGCACTTTACACTTCCATAGTCGTAGCAAACACTGAATGAAACAAGTAAAAAACCTCAAAAATTCGACAGTAAATTATGAAACAATTTGAAGTCAAAAGTTAAGCACTAGGAGACATGGAAGCAGGCAAACATGCACACTCACAGATATTACCTGCTAATTTGCAACTAAACCTGACTCCGCAGAAAATGGTTAGAAGATACATTTTGAATTGTCTAGAACAAATATGATCAAATTATCCAAGTTTCAACTTCAACATATGTTATTACAGTAATGAAAATTGTCCTCAAACAATATGACAACATTTTGCATGCAAACAGTAAGGGACCTTGGAAGATGTTTCTTCAGCACATGACAACAATAGCCATCCGCTCGGCTAGTTCATTGATACTACAAACTTGTCTAAAACAAAGACAATGCATTAACAGATTTTAAACTTCTGTGCCAATTAAACTTATCCATGATTTGGGTAAATTTTAACAAGCAAAAAAGCACTGCAGAAAAACTTTTGGCATATAATTGGAATTACCACGTGACTCATCTTGGCCATTGCTATCTTTCTGAGAAACTCCAAAATCAGCAAGAAGGGCCTCAAGCTCTGCAAGTTCCTTCTTCTTTCTTTCCTTCTTTGAAAGTTGTCTTTCTGTCTCCTTAGGCAGCACAGGAACTTCTGGGGCTTTCTTCACAACTGGCTCAGGATGCACTGGAGCCTCTGGTTCATGGTCATGTTCTTCCTCTACATCATCATCACCTTCATCCAAAATATCTTCTTCACTCTCACTTTCCTGCAAAAAAAAGAAAAAAAAAAAAAAAAAAGGCAATTAGTGTATGCCAACAAACATTAAATTGTTCATCAGTCATTTTGCAAGGTTCCATCCATCCCTCCTGGTGTCGTGAAAGACAAATAAATAGTGACTTGCACAGAAATAGTATAAATAACTATTCAGGGTCATATAAGTACAAAATCAAAATCTTTTAAGATAATAGTGTGCTGCCACAATATAATTCATCCTTCCCATTAATCATCCGGAATTCCTCTTTGGCCTCGGGTTGAAATCATATTTTAGGATATAACAAACAGCTAGCGGTGCATTCACTGTTTATTTTTATTTGTAAATGTACTTTTTCTATTCCTTTTGAGGCTAAAAATAGTGAAATAGAACACTGCCAATTTGAAAAGACAATCATGACAGCCCATATATAATACCCTACCAGTATCACCATGTGATCACATCATATATACAACACACCACCAAAAATACTGTAATTAAAAAGAGCCAAAAACAAAAACCTAGAGCATTGCTAATGAAGCTAACAAACTCTCAGACAAATATTGCATATCGCATTGGATTAACAAAACAGATAGCTATTCCCTAACAATATAACATACCAATCAATCACAGATAGCATATACCACAATCATATATCACACTCCAAAACATAATAAAATCGTACCATGGATGAATATCAATCTATCATCCATACCATCATAATCAACCATCAAATTATCAAGAACCCTTGAATCTATATCAATAAACACCCACAATTATATACACTTAAATCATTTAAACCCGTCTTCTCACCTCTAAATGGCCAGATTTCTCCTCACTCTGCTGCTGGTCTGAGGACCCCCAAACAGATGGAGGAGGCGCCGTCGTAGCATAATAATCATCATCATCTTCATCATCGACATCAGCCCAAGATTTAGAAGCAAGTTTTGTTGGAGCCCAAAAAACTTCCGGCTCAGGCTCCTTCGATTGCTGCTCTTTCCCACTCTTTGAACCCCCTTTCCCACTCTTCGAACCTCCACGCTCCTTATCAGATTTCTTCTTCTTCCTCAATGTCTCAAGCGCAGCAAACACGTTCGTGCTGTTAATCACCAACGATCCCTCGTCTCTCCTGCTTCCTCCACCCACCATGATTAACTTAGGAACAAAACTGTAGATTTGGACAAATTTCAGGGACTAAATTCAAAATTTGTGATAATCGTAATAGATAAACACAACAACACGTTCGTACGGTTACAACAAATGAAGATCGGAGAAATTACAAGCTAAGATATAAAATTAAAATTCAACAAAAAACAAAATTATTAAGTGATAACTTTGTACTTGTGGACAAATCGATTAAAAAGGATTGTTATATGAGAATTAGGGTTTTTTAGTGACAATTGTGGGAGATTAAATTCCGATGAGAGGCGGAGATGGTGGATTATGGACAGCGGTGCGGGAGAGAAAACGATTTTGGGTTAGGGTTTGAATAGATATTTTTTCTTCTGCAGATAAAAGAGAGAGAGGAGGTAGGGCTGCTTGTTGTTGTAATTGTGGCGTTTTTAGATAACGTGATGAGAGGAAGGAAGAAGAGAGAAAGGGTTGGATTTATAGGGTTGTTTTTTTTTTTTCTCTCCCTGAACGGAACGCTTGCCCTCGTTAAGTCTTTTATTTACGGTTAGTGGCTGTGCGAAACGGAGTCGTGTTCGGATTTGCAGCAATTAAAAAAAATAAGGAGCAGATCCTGTAGGAAAAAAAAAAAAAAAAAAAATTACTCCTCTGATTTTACCGTCAAATCTAATATAAAAGCAATGAGGCGTCTTCCTAATAGTTTTTCTATAGAATTTAAATGGCTAGGCTAAAATTTCTCAGATTCTTTACCCTTAAGTAGCTAATATGTAGGCTGTTAGGGTTATTAATTAAGTTGATGTTTAGTGTCAATTAAAATCTTGATTCTAATGATGAAAAAAAATATCTATAATTCGAGTTGTATTTATGTGATTTTTCTACACATATGAAACAATGTAAGAAAAATGAGAAATTACATTAGCAAGAAAATGATTTTCCAAAAGTTGTCGGGAGATAACATTAATTTACTTCATTCCCAAAAATTACTCTCAAACTATTAGAGTTATGCTAATTTAAGATATTTGCTGATAATTGAGTTATTTAGATTTCAAACCATGTTTTTTGAGTAAATATCATCTTTTATCCGTTATTTTTAATATTAAAGAGTTGATCGTTAACTTAAATACTCAAAAGATGTCGTTTAAGCGTTCTTTTTAAAAAAAAAATTAATATTATATATATATATATATATATATATATATATCGCATGTCGTTTTGAGAAACTATTAAATCAATTGAATTAATTAAAGTGAATGAAAAGGGGATTGAAGTCGGACCTTGAATATTGTTATAGAAAAACATGAGTCCTAAAAGTGAATTACACGTATTTTTAAATTCATAAGAATCCCACTTGGTAATATGATTGTGAGAGAAATCTAATCTTTGCAAGTTATTTATTTCGCAAAAAAACCCTCAAGATATCTCCAATGAAAATATGAACAAACGATTAAAATCTTTGAGATTTGTACCATTTGAAAGGCAACGAGGAATGAAATCTATTAAATGGTTTCATATAGGTCAAGTTGTGACAAGGTGTTGCAAGAATTTTCGATTTTCAAGCCCGGAACGGACACTTTTAAAATTGTTATAAAAAAGGTCAAGCACCTAAATTTTTATTAGAGTTCAACAATAGACTATCTTATAAATTATTATGAGAAAAACTTATGTAAAATAGATTTTATTTTTTATGAAAAAAATCCTCAAGAATCGAACCTTCAAGTCTAGTAGAAGATAATTAAAGTTGTTGTAGAGCATATGAAAGATGAAGAAAAGAAGTAGAATTTATAATAAACAAATTGAATAATAAATTCAGAGTAGCTAACATATTAAGAGCAAGTAAAGGATTTAAAGAGATAATACAAGCAAAAAAAAAATCTAGTAATTCAGTTGAAATCAATTCATTGTAGCCTCTCTTTGTACGAGTTCGATTAATTTAGTTAATTTAATGATGTCTCGGGATAATATTTCATCACATATTAGGACGACATGTCATTTTATTAACCATTATTATACTTTTTTAAATATTAATTTTCTTTTGCATAAAAAAAAAAAGAATTGAAATGCTTAAATGGGGTTGTTTAACCATTCAATTTAATGGTTAACGCTTTGACCATAAAAAGATAACGGATGAAGGTTAATATTTGCTTAAAAATTATAATTTGAAATCCAAGTAAATCGGATCGATAGTAAAAACCTTAAATTTCCATAATCTCAATAGTTTATGGGTAAATTTTACCATTAAACCCTTTCTTAAGTGTTTAAAATAAAAATATTCATCTATACAAACACATGTTTAAATTAGAATAGTTTTTTGGTGCGTGATTATTCAATATTCTTTTTTGAAAAAAATATTTATTGTTTTAAAAACAAAATCTCTTTTAGTAGTATAAAGAAATCCAATGATAGTGGATTTGTTTGGTTAAAAAAGGTTTGCTAATTTTATTGACTTAATGGGTTTAAACCTTAGAGCTAGCAATTGAGAGAGTTTATTAAATTTTATTAAATTATTTGATCATTTTAGAAAATAATAATTAGCCTTGTTCTTTTATGTGAGCTTTCAATAAAGTAAGGTATTTTTAATTTCTCTTCTTTTTTGTTTCACCCATGTATCTATTTCCCTTATTAGAAATAGAACTAATCATGTTCAGAATAGAAATCATAAAATTTAACTTTTTTTAACAAGTGCAATTCTAAAATTCGAATCTTGTACATTAATAAACAAAATTTTTAGAAACCAACTTTCTTATCACTAGGCCGATAACTTGTTTATTTGTTGCCATCCATATCTAAATTCCCATCATCTTTTGTTTTTCTCCCTCCGGACATACAAAATTACCATGCTCTTTTAATTATAGTTTTATAAATTTAGTTTATTACCAATTCATAGCATGTACCATTTACCGAATTATTGCTTTAAGTATGTATTCAATATAATGCTTTGGAATCCTCACCAAGACCGCCAATGGTAATTAAACACTGGAATTATTTTGGACTATCAATTGTTCATTGGTTTCTCTAGTTAGTAGGAAAAAGACATTACTTTTACATGCTAATACAAAATTCAGGATATATTGGTTCCCACACTTCATTATCAATCTTTATCGAATAGGGAGTGTGTGTGTTTTTTTACCGAAGTATTCATTTCATGAAAAAAATAATTATTTTGAAAAAATCATGCAAGTTTTGAGAAAATTTTTAGAATATGAGGTTCCGAGTAAATAAAAACTAGTAAAGTGCTTTAAAAAATTAGTAATATAAATAATATATTGCATGCCTTTTAGATTTTGACTAGATTTTTACCCGCGTTATGTTGCAAGTCGGACATAAAATGTAAAATCGAGTTTAAAAAATAATTTCAGCTTGATGATACGTATTATATTATGAATTTATTAAAATATATCAAATCAAAACTATTTTTTTTAATTGTGTGTTTAACTAATTATCCATTATGTTTTTCATAATTTTTTTTGCTAAAAATTACATGATTTATTCTTTTATATCTAGATTCTTAACTAAAAACTTTTCTTATCATTATTTTTTCAAAAAATATGAGATAAATTATCAAAAAAAACACTTTTAATCGTTAGATTATATATATATACACATATATCATGCTTTTTTATTTAAAAATTCAAATAATTAATTTTATAAATCACAACAAAAAATTATATTCTAAAAATTCATCATATATATTTAACAATGATATGCTATTTAAAAATTAAATGAATTTGTCATATAAATTATGTGAATTTTTTAAGAGCAAATAATAAAATTTCAAAAATTAATTAAAAAGAATCATATAAAGATCTCTCTCTCCTCCCTTTTTTCTCTTTATTTCTTTTTTTCTTAGCGAGTTAAGGACTAAATTATAATACAAATAAAGTTGTGGGTTGAAATAAAAATTATTGAAAAAACAAACGAAGAAAGAATAATGTGAGCAAAACTTTTTACATATAAAATTATTGGAAAAAAACCTCAAAATTACAAATTAAATTAAATTAAATTAAAAGGTGTGTGAATAGTGTCATGAATGAAATAAATGCCTCAAAAAACATTTAAGATAATGAAAATATCACTTTTTAAAATTGTAAAAAAGCCATCAAGTAAATAATATTATATGGATGTGTGAAAAGTATAGAAATAATAAAAATTGTATATTTTTTAGTGGTTCTTATAATCACCATACAACGAGCACCCAATCGAAAGGAAAAAATTGAACTCAAGATGAAAGAGGATTAGGGAAGAAATCTAACGAAAAGCATGACCGGAAAGCATTAAATGCTACACCAAATCCATCAAGCAAATGACAAAAAAGGGCACCACATAAAAGGGAGGAAACCCATAACCTCGCACCAACACCCAATGGCAATAAAGAAATTAAGGTAAGAACGAGAGGGCATTGTCACATGGGGTGGGGTGAACATGTTATGAACGACTTCATCCCCACCTCTCGTTAGTTTTTTACTTAATTTCCCTCATGGTTAATGATAATGCTTTAGGAAAAAAAAAAGACGATAGACCGAAGCATAATCAACAATATGTATCTAATTTATATAAATTAGAAATGCAATACACTCGCATACTTCGTAACTTTTCTATTTTTTCAACGAGAGATGTCGACATCGGCTACCAACAAGTGAAGGGGTCGAAACAAGGAGTCGCCACCTAGCTAATCGAGAGAACTAGAAAATCCTAAATATAATGGTCTACATGGATATCCGGACAAGGGGTCGGTTACATATAGAGAAGACATGATGTCACCACTATCTTGTCCTACCGAAGGTAGGTTGCATTATTTGTCTATGAATATAAAAATCTTGATTTTTTATTTTTTATACTTACATGCCTATTCAAATAAATTTATTTGGTGAAAATATGAGACGAGATGATTTTGATGTAAAACATGGTAGTTTGGGTGTTTGGATCGGCCCGAGGCCAATACACCATGCCCAAATAGGAGAAAAAATATAAAAAAGGATGGAATTTTGGCTAATTATTAGCAAACCCGACCTATTATCAATGATTAAGTGAGTTTCTAAATATAAATAGCCTTTTATTGGCATGAGTCGCGAGTCACCGGTGACTTCGCTCACACAAGTAAAAAGCCATCAATGACTTCGAGTTACGCATTTAAGAAGTTACCGATAACTTCGTTACATAAGTGAAAAGTCCCCGATAACTTCATGTCACTCCATTGAGGATCAAATAACTATTTAGAAGCCACCTGGCAGCCTTCTTCATATAAATGGGAAACCAACTGCAGCTTCGTTTCGTACAAAACAGACATTAAATAAAAAAATTATTTTCAAAGCCATTGGTAGCTTCATCACATAAATGGAAAGCCACCGATAGCTTTTTTTATATGAAATAAGCAATAAAACATAGAAAAAAAGAAGCAGGGAATAGTAAACAAAAATAAAAAAAAAACGAGGATCGCCCATCGTACAAAATGATTTCGAAACCATCGATGACTTCATCACATAAATGGGAAGCCATCGGCAGCTTCATTATATCATGGCAATTAATCATGGATAGTCTATTATCACAAAAATAGCACAAATTTTGCATTTAAACCGGTAGACATGATTACGGACAAACATGACATTTTATCAATCATTGCAGTACTATTTCATTTAATCGCATTTAATCCATAAATGTGGAGCCAAACAACATAATTTCGGACACATTCCAATGCACGAATCATTTTTAATCTTTTATCATATTTCTCAAAATGTCATGGTTTTAAGATTTTTACCCAAAAGTCCTAAAACATCGATATCCGATTGGGAGCTCGATCCTACCCTCTTTGTTCTCGATGATAATCGAATTTTTGATTAGCAAAGAAAGGAGGGTAATTATTGGTTGGTAATAGTGGGGCGACTACCACTAGGGTGGTCGAAAAAAATCCTACTTTTCTCAAAGGTGCTCTGCAAAATTTACAAAGTTGTCGAAGACTCCAAGGTAGTTCCGTAGCCTATTTTCCTATCAAAAAATTGAGCAAATACAATTTACAATATTCTATTGTTCCTACCAACACAATCCAACATAAAAGAAAAAAAATTAGCTCTCATTTATTTTTATTTTTATTTTTTTGCTCTTATTTCCTCTTTTTTAGTAACTCAAAAAAAGTGTTCATGGGTTGTTTTGAGGGAGGTTTTATGTCTGTCTTAATGGATTTTGGGGGAGTTTTTAGATGGTTTTGAAGCTAATCAAGAGGTGTTTTGGGGCTACTTTGGTGGTTTAAATGGGCTATCCAAATGAGTCGTTCGTAAGGGTTTTTAGAGGGTTGTTGGTGGTTGTTTCGGGGTTATAAGAGTCGTTGTTGGAGACAGATTTGTTTTTGGTTTTTATGCATTTTTAGGATGTTTTAGAGCTATCTTAAAGCTGGCTTAGGGATGTTTTAGTGGCTATTATGGTGGTTTAAGGGGGCTATTCAAAAAGGGGTTTTCTATATAAGCATGTTTTCGAGGTATTGGTAATGGTTGCGGTATTGATTTTGGAGGGTTTTTAGTGGGTTTTTCGGGTTTTTTTGGGGTTGGTTTTAGGGCTACTTTTGGGGGGTTTTATGTCTGGTTTATAAATGCTTGTAGTTTTTTTTTTTATGCCTTGAAGGAGGTTGAAGTGAGGGTGTTTGAAGTTGTTCTTGGGGTGGTTTGAAATTTTTATCCTCAATGAGAGATTTCTTCCAGTTTGTTTGATCATAATTTTGACCATTAAAAAGAACTAAACTTGAACTAATGTCTTCATACGAATTATAGGTCCAGATTTTATCTTTCCAACGCAATTAGCCTTTCATCAATTGAACTCCTATAACCCAAGATATGAACTACGAATCGAACATGCCCTACTACTAAAAAAACTTGCTTGGACGATTCCGACCTCGACTTATAGCCCTATTTTGACTTCAAATATTTCAAACTAGGCTTTTAACTCTTCACAATAGTTTTAGCTCAGTCTATTAACTTTCTAAAGAGCCTAAGATCACCCGATTTAGACGTCTATAGCCCAAGTTATAGTCAAAATACGAAACAAGTATGGAGGATGAAGGCTTAGAGGTCACCTTATGTGGGTGGCCATGAAAGTTTGTTTGTATGGGTTTATGAGGTACGGAGAGAGGTGACTAGTGTTGAGGGCTGTTGTAGAGGTTATGAAGGAGTGAGGAAAGTTGAGTAGAGCTTGGGAGGAGGAGATGGCGGGGTTATAGCATAAGGATTTCGGTGAGAGGGGATGTCGAGGTTTGGGCGAGAAAGGGAGTTTGGCGTGTGTTCTTTTTTTGCCTTTGGTGGCTACCAAATTCTCTTATTAAGGTGGTGAGTGAAACTCACTTTAAAAAAATGCATGCATGCTTTATGTGTAGGGTTTTTTATGAAAAAGTTTATTTTTGGTCCTCCATGCTCTACCACCAATCAATTTAAGTTTAGTTTTGAATTTTTTACTTCGATGGGCTCCCTAAATTTGAATTAATTGAGACTTTCATTTTTGTTTCTCCCAATTATGCCCTTTTTTATTTTAATTAAAGGATATAAGTTTTATTTTTTTATTATTTTTGTTTGGTATTTTGCAATAGAAGCAAAACTAATAAAGGTAAAATTTTGGGTGATAACAAGAGAAAACATAGGAATTAAAAACAAAAAACAATTAATTAAATTAATTAATATATTAAGATTTGAGACATAATATTTTGATATTTGTTGATAACTATAGTTACTTAGTATGAAATATAAACTCCTTGAAAAATTTTATCGGGTTAGACTTCCTTGTAATCATGGATATCCTTTTCCGAAACTTTATAGCCACTTAATCATACACATTAAAAATATATCTTATACTCTATGAGGTTTTTTCTTTAATAAAGCAAAAGATTCAACTAAGACAAGCATAACTACAATCACACCAATGTATACACATATTTTCATAGGGTCATAACTCTCTCTTTAATATCTATACAATATGCCTAAATGCTAATTTAATCATCGAATAACTATGCCGGACAACCTCCAATGCCACTAACATCGATATTTGTCCCATATGCTTGCAGGACTTCAAAGTACACCACCATTATTTTTTCAAACTCCTAAAATAGACCGAATATCGAGTATAAAAAATCTAAATGTCGAAATCTCGTGCATTAATTTGTATGAAACTAAACTAAAAGCTAGTTTATCGACTTTCTATATAATCTTCATGTTTCTCTATGGCTTTTTTCCACCTCCAAAGTAGCAATAATAGTGTCCTCTTTCTTATCATGTACCATGTCCAACTCTTAAATCTCTAAACAAATATATATATATATATTGAAACAATTAAAACAATTAGCCTAGATTGATTGTAAAAGGGGACTAATTAGAAGAAAAAAAGTTTGAAAATAAAAAAGATAATTGAGGGTACAATCAAAAAATTCAAACCTTTATCCTTTAATTAAAATAAAAGAGGGGCATAATTGAAAAAAATTAAAGCAAAAAGTCCTAATTAATTGAGATTTAAGGGTTTCATTGAAATAAACAACCAAAATCGGACTTAAATCGAGCAATTATAGGAAATCGAGGACCAAACTAGACTTTTGCTAAAAACCTAAAAATATACCTATAAAAACCCTTTTTTACATTTTTTGGTCAAAAGTTACCGTTCATCTCCCTCTTGTTTTGAGACCCAACGACTCCTTCTCCTCCGAAACCAAAAAAAAAAATTCACCTTATAAACTATTGTTCACTCAATATCAAAACGAAAAAAATCTAACAACTATAACCTTTTATCTTTTTCCTTGTATTGGTTGAAAGTCACTATTCATCTCTTTCTTATTTTGAGACCCAACAACTCCCTTTCCTTTTAAACCAAAAAAAAACAAAAAAAAACTTCACTTTATAAATTACTATTCACTCACTATCAAAGCGAAAAAATCTAACAACCGTAACCTTTCATATCTTTCCCTATATTTGGTTACTACAACAAAAAGAAGGAGGAGGAGGTAGCTGCAATTCATCTTCCTCCTTCCCCACTTTTGGCGACCATAATCCTTTTCACCTAAAACTAACCGCTTCGCATACCATAGTAGCTCACCCAACCTTGCCAGCTCGATACCCTTTTCCTTTTTATACACCAAGATATCTCGCCTATCGTATGCCAATGCTCCTCTCCCCTTCGCATACCATAGTAGCTTACCCAACCTTATAAATTCAACGCCCTTCTCCCCTTCTCACACCATAGTAGCTAGCCACCGCGAGCTTCTTCACCTCCCACTCGGCCAAACCTCGCCCTCCACCAAAACCAGCCAAAACTCTTTCACTTGTACCCTAATTTTAACTTCCAAAAACAACTAAAACCCCTCCATTTTTAGCCACCAAAACTAATCAAAACTCCTTATTTTCAGCTCCCAAAAACCAATTGAAACTCTCTTTTATTTTAACCTCCATTGTAGTTGAACAAACCAGCCTTCATCCATCACAAAAGCATCACATTTCCTTCATTGTTAGGCATAAACTTACAGCCAAAAAACCACCATCTTCTTCTTTCCTTTTGGTCAAAACTTGTTGTCAAAGAAGACCACCATCCTCTTTTCCACTTTAGGCTAAAAGCCGCAACCACCGAACCACCATCTTCTCCTCCTTTGTAGGCCAAAAGTTACTACCAAAACAAAACATTTTCCTCTATATTTTGGGATAAATCTTGTTGCCAAAACAATCCCTTGTTACCCCCTATTTAAGCTGAAAGTTACGAATCATAAAGTCATCACGTTGACCACCTCCTTAGGCCTAAAGTTATAGCCAAAAAGCCATAACCTTTTTCCTCTATTTTGGGCTAAGAGTTTCTACTATTCCATGCACCATTTTACATCAAAAAGTTACTACCATTTCTAGCCACCACTTATAGCAAAAAAAAAAAAAAAAACAAACAAACAAAATACAAGTGTGTTATGTGTTTGACAATAAATATTAAATGACAAAACATATATAAAAGTTTTACTTGTTTTAATTGATTGATTTTGTAAAAAATAACATGATGTTGTAGATTGTGTTTTGTGTTGGTTTTGACAAGAAAAACACAATAATTACTTTGTAGTAACTTTGGCAATTTTCGCAGTTATTGTAAAATTTACAGCAATTTTGATAAATTTACAACAACTTTAGTAGTGAACCAACCTCGAGTACTTGCATCAACTTTAAAGAGACTTTCAATTACTTTAACAGGACTCATATAATATTTTAGCAATGAGCAACTACTTCCCTTCCTCGATCGATTGAATAATTTGTTTTCATCGGGGACGAAGAGACTAGAATTGATCCTCAAATCGAACACTTGAACTATAAAACTTTTTAGATAAAACTCTTATAATGACTCGTAATCCCTTAAAATGTGAACAAAATTGTCATATGTGATTTATATATTCACCGTTTAAATGTAGTTGAAGTGAACAAACTACTCTATTTTACATCTACATTTCTAATACGAAGTTTGTGCGATTAATTTAGCATGCTTGGTTGTAATATACCTAAATGTGTAGCAATCATATCTAAGGTGTATCATCTAATTTCACTATTTTTTTTATGTCATTTTGTATATATTCTGTTTATCGAAGATAAGTAATTGGTGACTTTCCACTTATGTGGTCGAAGCCCGTCGGTGGCCTCAAAACCAGCTTTCTCCAAAAATTATTTATGGAAATAAATTTATTGATAACTTTTCACTTATGTGACAAAGCTATCAACAATTTTGACAAGCATTTTGTATACATTTTATGTGTAAAAAAATAGGCTACCGATGACTTCTCACTTAAGCGGATGAAGCCACTTAGTGGCTCCAAAATCATTTTTTTTTCTTAAAAAATATTTATGGAAATGAAGTTATTGATAAGTTTTCATTTCTATGACAAAAGCGACCAACGATTTGGACATCATTTTGCATATTTTTTGTTTGTCAAAAAATAAGCCATCGGTGACTTCTCACTTTTGTGACCAAGCCATCGGTGGTTTCAAAATTATTTTGTTTTATTGTTTATTTATCCGAAATGAAACCGTCGGTGGCTTCCCACTTATATGATAAAGCCATCAATGCTTTCGAAATTATTTTATTTTGTTTTTTATTTGTCCGAAATAAAGTCAATAGTAGCTTCTAAACCAGCTTATCTACTCATTGTTTAAGCCAAATAAACTCGTCGATAACTTCTCATTTTTAAGATGAAATTGTTAATAGCTGTCTAAATTCCCGACTTAAAGTCGTCATCGGCTTCCTACTTGTGTGTAAAGTCATTGGTGACTCATTGTTCATGCCTATAAAAAGCTATCCATCTTTAAAAACTCACCTATTTACTAGTAACGAGTCGTGTTCACTAAATACTAGCTGAAATTTCAAGTTCTCCCACCTTTTTTCCTTGAGTAGGGGCATTGGCCTTAGATCGGCCTAAACCCCTTAACTACTATGTTTTATATCCAAACCCCCACTATCCTATTTTCATACCTTAACAAAATGATCTAACTTAAATAGGCATAAAAGCATAACACAAGTAAAAATTAATTTTTTATGTTCACGTGCAAACAATACAACCTACCTTAGGTAGGACAAAATGATGATGTTATATCTTCCTCATATATAACGGACTTCTTACTCGAATATCTTTATAGAGCATTATGTTTAGGTTTTTCTATTTGTTCCTAATTAAGTAGGTGATGACTCAAAGTTTGCTCATAATTTCATATGCCCCTCGTATGCTTATGTCAACGGAATGGCGACTTCATTGGAGAATTTTCATGTTAGGTTTAGGTTTTAAATGTCGATGTTTGTAAATCTCTAATTGTTTGTTATGCCTTTATGCCTATATGTTTTAAATTAATAATTATCATTTAATTGATTATCTATTTTCATCGTGAAAATATGTCTATATATGTGTGCGTTGTTTGTGTTGTTTTTTCTTATAACTTTATTTATTTAATTCTTAGCCCTTATTTCATATTTTAACACTAGATATGGATTTATACCCCACACACGTTGTTGCATAAGTATAACTACCATTTGTATTTTTCTTAGGATCTAGGGAGTAAGTAGTGGTGCCTCGATAGATTTTACCTAAGGTAAACATTCATAAAATCTCAAGCATTCTTGCTGGTTGCAATTGTTGATGAGTAGTCGATATTTTTTCACGGTTGCTAATATCGTCATGGATAGTCCTAATGATTATACTAAAGAGTCACTAGGTTGGAAGGTACCATTTTGAGACCTAGATGGAGCCTACCCACTCATATAATGGTTAGAATCGGATCCTAGGACTATCATTTTTTTATTAAATACACCGAGTAAGTCAGCCATGTTTAAAACCTTGTCTAAGATAACTTGATCATAATATTTTAAGATGGGTGACAAAAGATTTCAAACTCGGTTTAAGCAAGCGTCAACTAAAGCATTGAACGATTACTAATGTGAATGACTACATCTTTAAACCTACCGAAAGTAATCTCTTAGATGAAAGAACTCTTTTGTCACCCTTCATATATGATGAATCCATATCCAGATCATAAATATATCTTTATCTTATGTCAATATTATTTATATTGTTGTATTTTGCTATTTTATTTGGAGAAGCATAAGTCATCTTATCAAAACTATATTTCCTCATCAAGAGTTGACAACTAAAGCCAAAATAAAAATAGAGAACAAAGAAAAAGTTCACCTTGAGCAAGTCCATCAAAATGAGTTAAGTGCTTTAAAAGTAGAAGTGTCCGGGTTATCTCGCTTTACTTAAACAAAGTCCGCAAACTCGTGTGTTTACTAAAGTGCCTCCCGGTTAGGAAATGGGTCGGTTATTTACTAGCCTTGAGGTGTTTATTACTATAACAATACCCACTACTCGAGTGATGATTTATATGCCACCTTTCTTCACTTTCCATCAAGAGGTCGTTAATGTTGTGAATTTAACCAGATCACACTACACTTGGAGCTATGTATGAGCCGAGCATATCCCGAAGTCTCGCGACTATGATAGTTATATATTTTGCAAACTCATACAACTCCTATAATTGATTTGGCTACTAATGAAAATTTGAGATGAAGAAAAGCTCGAGACAAAAACTAAAAAGCTTAGTGCAATTGAAGAACGTCTTATAGCCATTAAAGACATGCACATGTATAACCTTTTTTGACGAGTAGACGGATGCTTGATTCTGAATATCATGATTCTTAAAAATTTTAAAGTGTCGAATTCTCTAAATACACTAAGAGCCAATGTCTAAGAACTCATTTTAGGATTTACTTAAATAAGATAACCAAAGTTACCTATATTAAAAATCTTCGATTCAATCCTTTCTACATTGATGTTCACTAGATTGGAAAATCTATTTTTAATGCAAACTCGTCACAAACTTTTTTTTAAAACGTTTAAGAAAACATCTTCCCCAGCTCAACCATTAGCAAAGACAATTCGATCAAGACAACTAAGGAAATACCGGTCACATAAAATGTAAAGAAATACTATCATCTCTTCTATCGGCCAAGTAACTCTTGTGACAACTACTCTACAACAACCTCTATTTCTTATATGGTATAATCTCGGTGAATCTTATAAGTATCGAGTGTGGCATAATTTATCGTAATATTGAAGATTGTCTAGGCTTCAATAAGCATGTTTACTTTTTGATTGACCGAG